CAGAAACAATGAAGCTGAAATATCCTGACTTTTAATCCCTAGTATGAGCTCCAGAAACACTGGATACATTTCCTCTATATAGAGTCTTTCTTTAGACATCACCCCCTCCTGCTTTCTGTTAAACATTTTAAAGGACCAGTGTGTAACAAAAAAAAAAAAAAACTAGTACTGTTTTCAGCTGATTATATACTAATTATAAAATAGTTAGGAATATTATATTCAATTTCTGCCAATAGATCCTACTAAATGTTACACACTGGACCTGCAGCTGTATTTTTTTATAAACCTTGAAGGCTGTGCAGTAATCCTTATGATGAATAAAGTGGAGTTCATGTGTAAAGTCAGCGACGTGTCCCTTTAACACTTAACACTCGTCCACAAAAATGGTATTTAGTAATCTGTCACATCACTTTATGAATATGTCTTGTTACTGTGGAATTCCTGAATCAAAGCATTGACCTCTTTTTACAAATAGGTTGTGATTGTATTGATCGAGAAATCAAAGGATCTGAATTAGCTTTCTTGCCTTCATTTTGGATTAGTCCATGTATCTTTTGAATTTGTTGGTTTGATACTAAGCACTCGTGTTTAAATTCACATGTAACAAATACATTAAGGTCAAAGTGAGCTTCTTATTTCCAGGTCTATTAATAGCGGTCTATCCAGCTGAGTGTTGGTGTTTGATCCTCTCTGGCAGGTCTTCAGTGTGTTACCGGCCGCTGGTGTCTCTCCATTGTCAAGTTGCACAGTAATCTGGCAGCGAAGGTTAAGACCTGAATGGGGCTTAAAGGCTTACAGGAAACCTGAGTCCAGCCTCCTCATCCTCCTGTCGCACTGTCTCTGTCTGAAAAGACGCTCTTTCCCTTCCTCCGTCAACTCTGTCATTTCATTTTCCTCCTTATTTTTACATATATTATTCACGATACTTTGACTATGTTGTTATATACTATCATTACAGTCACAGTTTTAGCCACACTAGCGGCATGGATTTAGGCCATGGTGAAAATAGCAACAAGTATATTTACTCAAGTACTGTGTTTAAGTACAGTTTTGAGGTACTTGTACTTTACTTGAGTATTTCCATGTTATGCTTCTTTATACTTCTACACCACTACATGTAATTCTATATTATTATATGGTAATATATAATATTTTCAGTAAAACACATATGATTACACATCATTAAATATTAAACCGGTCTTTTCTTGTCTTGTTGACTTGTGACCCCTCACATAAAAATAGTGTGTAGTTGAGGTTCCTTAAGTTTCAGATGTCTGACTTCACCACAGAGACATTCCCCTCTAAACCTTTAATAACTGTCTGAGACCTAAAGAGGTCAAATTATCCAGTATTTTACAGCATTTGAAATTTGGTAGCTTGCAGATATCCACGTTTCCCCCAACTTTCCCTCTTGCACCACAGGCAGGTCAATGTTTTTACTTCTCCTGTGAAATATCTCATCATACTGAATGGATTGGCTGTACTTTAAGCTTAGTGCTAATTAGCAAATGTTAGGATGCGAACATGCTAAATTAAGCTGGTGACCATTATACCTGCCAAACATCAACATGTTAGCATTGTAACTGTGAGTGTGTTGTGCCTATGTACAGCTTCACAGAACTGTTAGCATGGCTGTAGAGTCCTGTTCTTATGCAGGGTTAGCTGACTCAAGCTGTTTTTTCTTGCACTTTATCATCAGGATGTTATTGTGTGTGTGTGTGTGTGAGTGTGTGTTTGTTTGTTAGAGTCATTGAACTGTGCACTGTTAAACGAATGCGTAGTATATGACATGATATGTATTAAGCCCCCAGTGTGTGATATGTATTGTGTGCAGTGCATATATTTGAACGTACTGCATTTGCAGCACATAGATGTGCATGTGGCATACTTTTCAATCCCCAAAATGAATGTGTGTGTGTGTGTGTGTGTGTGTGTGTGTGTGTGTGTGTGCGTGTGTGTGTATGGAGCCAGAACAGTCTCATAATGGATAAATGCACACAGAAATGAATAAATGCACGAAAAAGGACTCAAAAATGTATTTGGGGAGTTGTATATATATATGACTCGATACACAAATGCATTTTCAATGCACACACAAATATGCTTCAATCCATATATAAGTAAAACAAAAATTCACATGTAAAAATAAGATTTGTAAACACACAAATATTTCTTGTTTTTCCGATCCACAAATGCATTTTTTCTACAAGGGGGTCGTCTGCAGCCAATCAGATGTCTCACTCCCTTACAGCCAATCACATGAGCCAGAGGAGACAGAAGCGAAAAAAGGAAACATGGCGTCTGGAAGCGGCTGCAGATGACCCCCTTGTAGAAAAAATGCATTTGTGGATCGGAGTCACGTCAGGAGAGTTTACAAATGAAAAGCACTGAGACAAATGCGCGTTTGACAATTCATATATCAATGTAACAACTTCCAAATATGTATTTGATGATGAAAATTGCAAATACCTGACGATTTGTATATTTGTGAATTTTTATTGCACATATTTAAAACAAGAAATATTTGTGTACGCACAAATATGTTTACAAATCTTATTTTTACATGTGATTGAAGCATATTTGTGTGTGCATTGAAAATGCATTTGTGTATCGAGTCATATATATATATACAACTCCCCAAATACATTTGTGAGTCTTTTTTCGTGCATTTATTCATTTCTGTGTGCATTTATCCATTATGAGACTGTTCTGGCTCCATAGGTATGTGTGTGTGTGTGTGTAGCTGTCAATCTGTAGATAGTCTCTCCAGATCATTCAGAGATCTTCAGGTCTTCAGGGATCGCATGCAAATCTTCATTATGAGACCTGCCTGAGTGTGTGTGTGTTGTGTGTGTGTGTGTGTGTGTGTGTGCATGCTCACAGTCAGTAAATGAGCCTGTTGGCGTTGCTCTGCTCAGGTGATCTCCTTTATTAGTCTTGTGTCACTGAGTGCGTCTGCTGAAAGCGTGTTGTCAGTGATTGGCACGTGGATGAAGAGACTCTTCCCTTCATCTGTCGCTCTCTCACTCACTCTCCAGTATCCCTCTATATCACTCTCTCTGTCATCCCTCGTACTCTCTCCATCTCCCTATAACCATCTTTCTCTCATTTTCGCTTTACTGTCATTTCCTTTTTGCTTTTCTTTTTCCCATCAGTTCCTCCCAGTGACTCTCTTTCTGTCCGCCTCCCTTGTCAATCCCACTTTTTTTCTGTTCAATTTTTCACCCTTTATGTAATAGTAATATATAATATGTAATATGTAAGTTCATTCATCAGCAGTTCATTGATGCACCCCTGTCTCCTTTTCCCTCCTTACCTTTGCCCAGCCCGCTCTCCTCTTTCTCCACCTCCTCCATCGCTGTCATCTGCACTCTATTCATTACCAGTTCACTCAGTCAACAGACCACATCAGCCAGACAGCAGATACATATCACACATATCAAATAGATCTCTTTGTGTGCCTCTCTACCTGTTTGGTGACCAACAACCTTCACTGTGTGTGTATCTGATGAGCAGGAAGGAACTTTTGAACTTTCCTCGGTGCCCACTCTCTTTTTTTTATCCCCTTATCTCCTTCTGCAGTTAGATGATACCAAAACTGCTGTTGTTGTTATTGCTGTGCAGACTGCAGGCAGTTTAGAGTTTTGTCATGGTCACTGCCCATGAGGGATATGTGATACAGATTTCTGCTCAGATCGTATCTTAGGTCAAGACTATTAGTCCTTCCAGCTCCAGTTGGCGGAAAAAAAACTTGGAGGTGGACCTGTTAATTGTAATTGACATAAGTGATCAAGTTCTTTCTTTTCTTTTTCTGACTTAAAATAAATACCTTACTTTTACCAGATAAATGTAGCCTATGTAATTATTTTTGTGTTTATCTTACAATAATAATTTTCTTTTGCTCTTTGCTCTCTATCCTCTGTCTGCTCTATGGTGTCTGGCTGTTAACCCCTGACACTAGCCCATATGTATAATATATTGGTTGGGGAGCAGGCCGGGGCGGGGTTGACCCTTTGTGATATATTTAGAGCAGCTTGAGATGAATGTTTTATCCATGCTGCGTAGGCAGAACACAGGGCAGTCATTAAACATTCATATCTGCCACTGAGATGACCTCCTGGAATATCAGCCCGTCATCAATGAATTAACATCAGACCATCCTCAATGAATTAACATCAGCCGTTTATGTAACGCCATCACACCTCACACCCATAAGCCTATGTTACACTGACAGAGCAGAGATGAATATATGTGTTATTTAGCTACAGTGATGAAAATACAAATAATTGAAAGGTTTATATTTTCTTGATTATCCTTTTTAAATTTGATTTCAATGGACATGATGACAGCTATTAATTATGATATTTAGAAAGATGGCTAATGGCCATTATGAAGTATTTAGAAGATCTTGAAACAATAGGTGCTTTCTTTCCTTTCTGAGTTCTAAATAAAGCTTCAATATATGAATTTTGAGGGGTTTCTGATTTAGGTGGTCACTTAAGTGAAAAGTTACTGTAAAGTTGACAGTGTGTCCTGAATTTAAACTCCCACATCAAACATGCACATAAACTGTTGGTGTGTGTATACACAGTTGAATATTTGTGTGGACATCTTAGCATGCATCCCTCTCAGCTGTGGTCAATGTTGCTATTGCTGGTGTGTTTGTGTGTTTGTGTGCGTGTGTGTGTGTGTGTGTGTGTGTGTGTGTGTGTGTGTGTGTGTGTGTGTGTGTGTGTGTGTGTGTGTGTGTGTTTTGGCTCTGCGTAGCTTCGCCTCTCAGACACAGTTTAGCAACAGCTCAGCCAGCCTGCATTATTCATACAGGAGCGAGCTGGCAGATAGAGTTACCCCGAGGCAGTATAGCTGGTACATTAAGGTGCCCTTTGCGAATATAACTAGGGATACATTTACTATGATGGATATACACACAGAGACATACAATACATATGCTCATCTGTGCATACACATGCGCTGACGATATCACCAGGCCTCATGCTGAGGTGAACAGCGAAGGGATGGAGTCACAGTAATTAGAGAGAGATGCAGAAGGTTGCAGGAGGTCACAAAGGCAAGCTGACGTGGATGTGGGAGGATACAACCACAAATGCAACACACATACATACTCACGCTCAGACAAAGAGGAGGACACCCCTGAAGGCCGAGACTCACACAGACGCGCTCACATCGGCTCTCCTTGTTGGGGGGACATCCTGCCAAAGTTGGTGCGGCGGCCAAGATGAGGATTCACTGCCGGACTCACAGGATGCACTAACAATAGGAGACACACAAAGGACTACACAGACTCTGTCACTGGGATAGCAGGGTCTTTTATTCATCGTGTGACCCTGGGAAATTACTTACAAACCTATAAAGAGGAACAAGACCAGGAATTTAAGTATTTTTGCTATGGTGAATGGACTGCCAGAGGCAACAAGTGGGTAAAGCTGAGAGAGACTGTAACCGGTAACATGGTTTCTTTTATTTTTACATAGACAGATTTCAGTCTTTTTTAACTCACAAAAAAACAACAACTCATTTGCTGAGGCTTGAAGACGTACTGTAATGCGAGCGAGCACTGATGGCTGAGATTCCGACTCCATTACTAGATCGTGTTTTGAAGGACTGTGGTTTCTGTTTGTCTCAGTGTGCATTATAGAACAACTGACTTGGGACAAAGTGTGCCACATTGTGTGTTTCTGGGGTGTCACAGGGACGGATCAGATGGAGGAAAAAGAAGAGAAGACGTGAAAACAATTGGGAATGAGAGGATGTTGCTACTTGGACTCTTCTTCCCAAGAGTACATATCAACATTGACATTGATACTGTCTTGCTTTAGCACATTTTGGAAACTCGTTCTTCCTCATCTGGTTAAGAATGATTTGAGTTAGGAGACATCATGCCACCTAAAAAAGGTGACACAAAATCAGCTGCCAAGAAAGGCAAGTCAGAGGAGCCAAAGAAGGGAGGAAAGGATGACAAAAAGGGAGGGAAAGATGACAAGAAAGGGGGAAAGAAAGCAGAGGAGCCACCAGCTAAGGGGAAAGGGAAGGATGATGGGAAGAAGGGAAAAGGAAAGAAACCTGTTAGTGAGTCAGAGGAGGGGTCTGAAGAAGAAGAAGAGGAAGTGATGAGTGAGGAGCAAGAGGATGATGAGAGCGAGGAAGAGGTAGTTACTAAGAAGGTGGCCAAAGGGAAAGGGAAGGCAGCTCTGAAAGGTGCATCAAAAGCCATGGCTGTGAAAGGTTTTAAACCTTCTCCTAAACGCTCACCTCCATCTGATGATGATGATGATGAGGAGGAGGGAACTAAGGGAAAGCAACAGGTGAAAAAAGGGATGGGTGCAGTAAACCTGAAAAAGATGAGTGACGTCCACATCAAAGGAGCCTCTAAAGCCATGATGGGCTTTGCTGCAGAGGGGCAGAAGAAAAACACGGGTGCAGGAAAAGCACAAAAGACAGCAGATCTGTCTCAACTCAAAGGAGCCTCCAAAGCCCTTTCTGGCCTCACAGGAAAGTCCTCTCCTTTTTCCTTACCCTCTAAACAACAGCCACAGAAAGCAAAACCAAAGAGAAACCTTAAAAGCACCTCCCGCCTCTTCCTACGACTCTCCAAGAAAAAGAAGCCCTCTGCTGGTGGTAAACCACTTCTAGGCGCCAGCAAGCTATTTTCTGGGTTTGGGGGTAAATCACCTTCTGCTGACAAAAAGCCAGGTCTGTCTGGCTTCAGCTTGTTTAATAAAAAAGAAGCTGCAAAAGAAACCCCGCCACCTAAAAAGACAATAAATCTATCCGGTTTAGGGGGCCAAGGGAAAATGGCAACAGAGGCAAAGGGACTGGGAGGGAAGTTCAAAGGCATGTTTGGGAAAAAGAAAACAGCATCAAGCTTCAAGGAGAAAGGCTGGATGGTGGGAAGGATAGCTGCAGCAACTAACTGGTTGACAGGGAGGTTTCTGACTGCTAAGGGCCAAGGTCGGCTGGGGACACGAGCAGGAGGACGGGACCGAAAGCATTTGTCATTTGCTAACAGGAACACTAGAGGGAGACAGACACATTATTACAATGAAGCCTATGAGTATGATGATGATGAGTATGGATATGAGGAAGATTACCATGACAGGCTGAGGCCTAGAGGCTACCCGAGACAACCCATGGCCTATGACCCATATGACCCTTATGGAGAAGAAATGGAATACTATGACGATGATGAGTGGGAAGATGAATATGGTTATTATGATGATGAGGGCAATTTTTATTATGATGATGAGTTTTACTATGATGATGACGTGGATTACTACAGTTACCCATATGGCTATTATGATGATGAGTATGAAGAGTACTATGGTGATGAAGGGATGGAGTATTACTATGGTGAAGATGGAATGCTGTATGCAATGGAACCAGAGCCATATGGTTACTATGATAACTATGGTAATGCCATGCATAGTTTTTATGACCCATATGACCCTGAGCTGTACGGAGATTACTTTGACCAGAATATGGGTTACAACAATGTAATGTCAGCACCTTATGGCATAATGAGTGGTGGTTATGATGTTGTTTCAGACTTATATAATGACCCAATGCTGGGATATACAGACCCTGCTGCCATTTATAACCCCTATCAGCAACCTTTCTATATGGATGCTGGACTGGATCCAGCTGAGACAGGACAGGTATATGGACAGGAGCAGCTGTCTTACCTTCCTGTTGAGCAATTTTCAGCAGAGCAGTTCAGGGTCCCCAGGCCCCAGGTTAGGCTATTTGGAAAAGACAGACTAGAGGTGGAAAACCTGCCACCTCCTCATCCTCAATTCTCCTCCCCAATGTTTCCCTCTCCCTCCCCAGCTCTTGCCCTCAACAATCTGGAAATGATGTCAGATATTCAATATGAGCAACCCCTTCCCACATACCTTCCTGCACAACCCCATTACCCTACTGTCATGAACCAACAACAGACCCCCATTCTTTCTAGAAGAGCGCCCTCACCAACAGCAATGATCATTCAACAGGATCACTTCTCTTTGCCTCAGCCTACTCACCCTCCTTTCTCTGTTTCTCCCAGTCACTTGTCCCAATCTCCACAAACATTTCATATGGCTCCGCAAATGTACCAACCATCCCTCCCCCAAGACCCACAAATGTTTCAGATGGGACAAATGTCACCAATGGTCCCACCAATACAGCCACAGATGCCTCCACTGATGCCTCCGCTGATGTATTCACCGATGCATTCACCAATGCATTCGCCAATGGCCTCACCTAGGCCAGTGCGGCGAATGAGTCCCCTTCCATCCCCACAGTTGTCAATGAGACCGGGATTGGCTAGGTCAATGGCACCTCCTTCACCCCGCCTCTCACCACATCACATGGACTTCCAAACAGGCATCCAGCCGGACCCGTACCTTTCCCCTCGTTTACATAGGAGAACTCACCAGGCCTCAATAACAGGCCAAAGGCCAACTTCCACATTTGACAGGCGAAGACCACCAAGCCCACCTGCTTCTCTACCACCACAAAGGAGAGGGATGTCAGTGAGATCTCAGCCACCCCTGACAAGAGGAAGGAGGGGTATTGGGTTGCGCAGGGCTCCATCAACTGTCCGACCACAGTCCCCATATTCTAGCCCCCTAGCTTCACCCCGGGGATCACTGAGGAAGAGAGCAAGCCCACCACCTTCCCCAAGACTATCTTTCAGGCAGCAACCCCCTCCAGATGCAGTGCCTCTGCCATCCACCAGACCGAATATGTTCAGAGGTAGAAAGCAAACTTCCAAGATGAGGCGTTCTCCCTCTCCTCCCCTTCCATCACCACAAAGACGGAGTCCCCCTTTACCTGAGAGAATTCAGTCCCCCCCCCAAACATTCCGCCCCACTTCCCCCCATCGTCCTCCCTCCCCTTCCCCATCACGTATCAGCAGTCGCCCACTCCCCACTAGATCCTCTACTCGCAGGCTCAGAGGTGGTGCTGGAGGTCGAAGTCACGTGCCCATGGGGGCCGTGAAACCTTCCCCAGCTAACCCCTACTTACAAAGACGCAGTAGACATGGACCCCCTGTCACTCAGCATGTAGCCCCATTCAGGTCTTCTATCCATAGCGGCCCAGCCCCTCCCTCAGGACAGATAGGGGGCATAACTGGAACACCCATGTTAGCCAGGACAGGATCCAGACCTACAGGGTTAAGGGAGTCAAAGAGAATTGGTACCGGCCAAGGAGGCTTCCACAGACCTGTAGGTAGGGGCCAGCCATTAGTCCGTATGCCCAGAAACCAGCCCTCTCTTCAGTCTAGGCAGTCATTCAGAGCACCTCCCCCAATGCCACCTCTCTCTCCACAGCCTTCTTTGAAACAGAGTGGTCCCCTTTCTCCCCAGCCATCAGTGCGTAGACTACAGAGTAGACCTGCATCTCCACAGCCACTGCATCGTCCATCTCCTCTGCCCTCCCGTTCAGCTTCCCCTATGCACCATATGTCTCACCCACCATCCCCCTTTCCCCATAGGGCTATGAGTCCCCAGATTCTAGGGTCAACAACTTTTCAACCTCCAATGCCTCACCCCAGTCTTCCTCCTGGTACTTTCCCACCATCTCATAATATCACCCAGTATGACTACTCAATGATGGATCCAGGCCCATCCCCAATGCTTACCAATGCGTTACCAAACCCTCAGGTTTTAGGTGCTCCCTTTCCTCCCTCTCCTTTTCCCTCTTCCACCACTGCTTACTCTTCTCCTTTACAGAGACCATCCTCCCCCCAAACACAGTATGGTGTCTACTCTCAAAATCTCCCTCAACCTCCACCCTCATCACCTCATCAGGGACGCATGCTCCAGAACCCTTATCTGCAGAATGCCAGTATCACCACACCTTTACAGAGAAGCCCTTCCCCCATACCTGGTGGGCAAGGGGAGATATTAGCTGATGTACAGGTGAGCCAGGTGGGGAGCCCATTTGCCAGTCTTGGTTTATCCAATGCTTTGATGCAGAACTCCCACCTGCGCAGTGCATCTTACTCATCTCCTCTACAACGCAATGCCAACCTATATACAAATGTGCTCTCACCCCCTCAGGTAGCAGCCCCTCCAACCCCTTCTGTAGCCTCCTCCCCATACTTGTCTTCTGCTATGCTTAACTCCCAGCTACGTAATGCTTCCTTTGCTTCACCCCTTCAGCAACACTTCTCCCCCATGTCTCCTGTCTCTTCTGCCCCTCCTTCCACTGCACCTCAACAAGGGACAACCAGAGGGACCTCCTCACTTTTTTCTGGTGGACTGCGGACATCCCAAATCCAGGGGTCCATGTTAAGGCTCCCAGGTGGTACTTTGACAATGTCCCGGGGGCCTGTTGGGCCTCCAGTTACTAGTGATGGTGAAACTGGTGGAAGTCTGTCACCCACTATGCTCTCCAATGCCCTGCAGAACCCAAGCCTACGTCAGGCTACCTATCGACTACCCGATGGTTCATTGGTCACCAGAACTGAACCTGCTGAACCTTCCTCAAATCCATCACCCCTCTCATCCTCTATGCTGTCCTCTGCCTTGCTCAATCCAAGCCTACGTAAGGCCACATATCGACTACCTGATGGCTCATTGGTCACCAGAACTGAACCTGCTGAACCTTCCTCAAATCCATCACCCCTCTCATCCTCTATGCTGTCGTCTGCCTTGCTCAATCCAAGTTTGCGACAGGCCACATATCGTTTGCCTGATGGAACTCTTGTAACTAGGACAGAGCCTGCACCTGCACCTTCCTCTTCCTCATCAATGCTTTCCTCTGCACTGTTGAACCCCAATGTACGTAAAGCCACATACAGGCTGCCAGATGGAACTTTGGTTACAAGAAATGAGCCAGAACCTGAGCCCCCTTCCTCTTCTATGCTCTCCTCTGCTCTTCTCAATCGCAATGTTCGTGGGGCTTCTTATCGATTACCAGATGGTTCGATTCTAACACGTCCGGGAGATGAGACGCAGAATGCTGAGAGTATAGTATCATCACCAGGGCTATCTAGTGCCCTGATGAATGCTAACTTGCGTAAGGCAAAGTTTCAGCTACCAGATGGATCATCATTCTTTTCACAAAACCAAACTCAAGCTCCCACCTCTCCTCACCTTTCTGGTGCAATGCTGAACACCAGCCTCCGTGGTGCCTCCTACAGACTCCCAAACACATCACTATTTAGGCAGCCTGGTTCTGCTGATACCTCTGAGTCACGATCCCTTGACCTTTCCAATGCTCTCCGCAACCAGAACCTCCGATCTGCCACCTATCGTTTGCCAGACGGAACTCTGATGACCCACTCTCAACCCGCTTCTGCACCCCAAACACTTGACCTGTCTAATGCACTATCAAAAAACCCAAACCTTCGTGGGGCAAAGTACCGTCTCCCCGATGGTAATATCATGACACGGCTTGGTGCCCCTCGCACCCCGGAACCTCGTTCACTTAACCTTTCTGGTGCCCTACAGAACCCTCACCTCCGGGGGGCCTCTTTACGCCTGCCCTCGTATGCTGTAGTGTCACCCCAGGTTCAGGGTTCGGGCCCTGACCAGCACTGGGCACAGGGCCCTGGAATTGAAGGTTTGAGACTGCAAGATGTGGATGTGTGGGGTGCAGAGAGGTTACTCCCTCACGGGACAGTGCAGAATCTCAATAAGTGGTCCATGTATAGAGATGGGGAGTTGCTGGACCCCCACAGCATGATGGGACAGGGACACATGGGTCAGGAACCAGGGGAGTGGAATCTCAGCAGGGAGGGGGAACCACAAGGGCAATGGTTTGACAAGGTAAACATTTTAAATATATGACTAACCTGACTAGTAGGCACAATAGCTAATGTTGGGCACTATACTATTTTTAATCTTTATGTTTCTAGAATCTTATAGTTGTAAATGCATCTGATCTGAAAAACTGGAATGGTAATCAGAGGAATGGTAGCTTATTCAAGTAACTTATTAATGTGTTGATGGTTTCTGAAAGGGCAGAATATATGATTAGTATAGGTACAGTGAACAAAGGTAAGGCAAAATGTATTTATGTAATAATTTGTGTGCATGTTTCCCCATTGTGCACAGGGCTATGTACAAGCATAATTTCTGATTATGTATGTGTATGTTTTAGATGTACTCAATCAGAAGCCTATCCAGTGTGGCTCTCCGGGAGCAACGAGAGGAAGATGGAGTGGAAGATATGACACAACTAGAGTAAGTTAAAGATCACACAAACCTGCATTAACGTTTTGTGAGAGAGACTTACAATGACAAGTAAAATAGTAAAATGTGTATTTAAAATAGTTACATTTAAGGCACTCCATCACTTTCAAAATGTATTCCATTTGGTTTATCATTATTTGAGTATGAGGCTCTAGAGGTAGAGCAGGTCATCCACTAATCAGAGGGTTGGAGTTCTATCCCCGGCTCCTCTCTCTGCATGTTGAAGTGTCCTTGGACAAGATACTGAATCTCAATTTACTCCCAATGCTCTGCCATCAGTGTGTGAGTGTGTGTAAATGGGATTAGTTAGTGTCTGATGAGCAGTTGACACATTGCATGGCAGCCTCTACCATCAGTGTATGAATGTATGTCTATTCAGGCGTTATAGAAATACAGCCCATTTACCATTTATCATATATGCCTATCATGATAGAATTGAAGCTTCAAAGAAATCATGGGTTAGAAGCTTGTAGATGGGTTCTTGAAGCTAAAAGATTTATAGTTTCAGTGGTGGGACATACCTAATGGTGGATCCAAACAGTGTAAACATGCAAAAGTGGTCTAGATGGTGGAGTGATTTGAAAAGTTCTGTGTTATCTTTAAATGCCATCATCCAATTGCTTCTGTACAGAGAGATGCACGAAGGGGCTGTTCTTCTGAACTTGAGGAAAAGATTTGAGCGGGAGCTTATTTATGCAAGTATCTGAGCAGCACACACATCCAACTTACAACCACCTACAAATTTAAAGTAAAATCAGTTTATTTTGAGTTTGTGTGTTTACTTTACAAAACCTATAGTTTTTATCTGGTGTTTCTTCTTTCTTTTCTTCTCTCTCTCTCTTCATTCCTTGTTTTCTTTCAGACATACATAGGTAGTATTCTGGTGTCTGTAAACCCCTATAAGATGTACAACATCTATGGGACGGATATGGTGCTGCTGTACAAGGGTTGTGCTCTGGGAGAGAACCCTCCGTAAGTCACACTGAAAGGGGACAGTAAACTGAAAACAAACAGACTGAGGCTAGAATTACCATAATCCTTATACTTAAAAAAACAAATAGATCAATTTGTGGAACTGAGTTTCGTCTTTATTATAAATTATTACTAATTAACTAATTATTATTAACAAGGCATACTTGAATGTTTTCTTGTTGGTTGATTGCATTTATATGAAGGAAGGAACATGATGTGTTTTAAGTAAATGAATGAAAGAAATAATGCAGATACATAATTAAGGCATGAAAGGGAAACGAATATTAGAAAAAAGCAGATGAGAAAGATAGAAAATGACTGAAGAAGAATATTTTGGTGCTAAGAGTTTGAGTTCACTTCTTTCATCTCTTGACATCTTATAGCAGTTTTTCTTTCTTCTTCAGGCATTTGTTTGCCATAGCAAATGCTGCTTATTCAAAAATGATGGATGCCAAACACAACCAGGTCATAATAATCAGGTAAGAGGCTGACTCTAAAATCTGTCCACTCTCCGTTTACCTGTAAATCCAATGTCAGAGTTCACAACCATATAGGATTTATACAAAGTACTTACGTTCATTATTTCACGATTCATAACTTCATATATACACCTGATTTAGACAGATACAAAGATATATTTTTTACGTAAATATATTAGTAAACATCATAGTAAACTGCCATGGTTTGTAGCAGTTTAATCATGGTGTACACAGCGTCCATGAGGCTTCTTGGACAGTCAGTTTCCATCTCCAATTGGATTAGTGTTTGTAAATTCATGAGTGTCTGTCTGTGGTTTTCTGGCCAGCAAACTTAAGACAGAGCCATCCTTCACTCCTCTCAAGCTCTGTCTAACTGTCACAGGTTCCTTGCTCCATGTCAAAACTGATCTCCACAGTCAAACACACATACTCTCCCACATACATCATAAACTCATTTATATCTAACTCAGGTGTAAAAGCATAGACATATATACTGTACATCCACAGATTTGCACATAGGTGTGTCCTTTTAGAAAGGTTCAGAAACAATCATAGGAAATACACAAACACCTACACATGCACACACTCGCACACACCTGGAACACTCTAGCCGTATTCGGAAGGAGACACCTGTAAGGAAAGCCCAGCCAGGTCTGGGCCAGGAGCAGATTATCTTTCAGGGGTGTGTGTGTCCATGTGCACATGTGCTGTGTTTGTGTGTGAGTCACTGAGTGCGTGTTAAGGGGTAACTGAGGTCTGGTGTACAGTGACCAATAATGGCCCGGTTTTTAGCTAACCAGCCACTGATTTGAAACCTTACGCTGGAATGTGGTCAAGGTGCTGGTGTCCCTAAATACAAAAACACACAGGCACACAGACACACACACACACACTTCTGCCCCCCTTTGGCCAAGCTTACATAATGGTGGTATTTAGCGCTAAGCTGTTGGCAGTGCTGAAGCACAGTGTGTGTGCGATGGTTTCAGGTGGTTTAACGCAAAAGTGGAATCGAGGCTTTGCCTAATGCAAGATTAGCCTGGTCTCACATCACTTAGTCAATTAAGTCAAACACTCCACAAGCGACGCCACTGGGGAGGTGAGAAGGATCAAATAATCGACGCTCTAAGTGATTAATAAAAGCTGGGTTTAGTGGTGCTCAAAGTGCGGATAATGTTCACTATTTGGCCTTGCCAACAAAATAACTGGATCTTCCACTACATGACCTTTTAGCTAATGGATTTTTTTCTTGTGCTTGTCGGCTCTACATCCACTTTGAGACATAATCAACCATCATGTAAAAGTTTTCTATTCATTCTGTTTTGTAGTTTTGTATTTGACAGAGCCAGTGTGACTGGTGAGCCAGAATAGCTCATTTCATAACATTTAATTCTATCAATTAAGGTTTCAAACATACCATGAATGCTGGAGCACATTGTATTTGTTAGGGTTAATTTGTTATGGCCAGTTGGGCATCTCCTCTAAAGGTTTAGATAAAAGAAAAAAAAAACATATTGTCCAGTGAGTGTGTGTTACTGTGTTTCAGTGGGGAGAGCGGATCTGGGAAAACAGAGGCCACCAAACTAGTCCTTCGCTACCTTGCAGCAATACATCACAAATGCAATCTTGCGCAACAGGTGTGCACACACACACACACACACACACACACACATCCTGACATGCACAAAGTGATGCCAGCATATTTGGATACATGCACACACACACACACACACACACACACACACACACACACACACACACACACATGTTCCTGTCTTGAAGGATGACTAATGCCTCTGTGCGTCTTTTTTCCACATCTCTTCTTGGGTGCAGATTGAGGTAGTGGGTTTCCGTGCATGACTTGTGCTTTACATTTTACACCTCATCTACACATATGGCCATAAGAATAGCAGGTTGCTGTGTTTTGCTGTGGTGTGTGACAATATTCTGTTGTGTTGATGTTATCTTTTCTTGTGAACACGGAAACGGTGAACATGTATGCTATTGACCAGCTATTACTGTCATAGGAAGATAGCATATTTGTCACCCAGCTGATAAAGGTTGTTGATTTACTGTGTGTTTGAATGCCTGGTAGATACTCGAGGCAGCTCCTCTACTGGAATCTTTTGGAAATGCCAAAACTGTACGGAACGATAATTCCAGTCGCTTCGGGAAATACATAGAGGTCTTTCTAGAGGAGTGAGTATGAAATAAATACACAAAAGCTACCAATCTCTGTTCCCATCACACTCCATCTCTTCTTCAATCACTTTTATACTGAACTGTGTTCTGTTTATTTTTATCATAAAGTACTATGTAACTGTGTTTTGAAAAGTGCTTATTATTGTTATTATTATTGTTATTATTATAGTTTTTGTCTCTTTTCTTGATTGCTCTGTGCTCTCTGCTGTCTCTTTCTCTCTGTCCAGTGGTGTGATCAATGGTGCCATAACCTCTCAGTATCTACTGGAAAAGTCTCGTATTGTCTTCCAGGTGACACATGTAGACAGGCACACACACAAGATTACACTTTATATCTTATATTTTTCTGTATGTTAAAGCTTTAAATTTGTGTTTCCCCTTCAGGCCAAAGATGAGAGGAACTATCATATCTTCTACGAGATGCTGGCGGGTCTTCCCTCACAGCAGAAGCAGGCTTTCTATCTACAAGAGGCTGAGACCTACTATTACCTCAACCAGGTAGAAAGACACAGTGGTGCATAATCATCAGTTTTTCACCACTTTGCAGGAATGTCAAATTGAGACACAGATCACTTGGAAGTATCGTTTCTCTCCATGCAGGGAGGGGATTGTGGGATAACAGGAAAGAATGATGCAGAGGACTTCCTGCGTCTGCTTGCTGCCATGGAGATCCTTCACTTCACCCCTGAAGACCAGTCGGTCATCTTTAGAGTTCTTTCTTCCATACTGCACCTGGGCAACGTCTACTTTCAGAGATATGAGGTATTGTTTCCAAAAGGATATTTGTTTGTTTTTATTTTTGTTATTAATATCACTTAACTGGCGACAATTCAGGCAATTCAAATACACTTGTACATATACCACCAGATGAGAGGAATATAGTGAACTAAAAATAAGAAATTAACTAAACCAAGACAATACAGAAAAATGATTACAGAGAAAAGCATTATGATGTAATTAGAATATGGTGATCATAAGCACATCAGGTGTATTTTCTCTCTCTTTCCCTTTTGCATTGCAGGCTGATGGCCAGGAGGTGGCGTCAGTGGTGAGTGCTCAGGAGATCAGAGTGGTGGCGGAGCTGCTGCAGATCTCTCCAGAGGGACTACAGAAAGCCATCACCTTTAAAGTCACAGTGAGAATCAAACTGAGGCATCCCTGTTTAATTAGATTTCACAAGAGTAATGCTCCAACATTAACTGCTGGAGAAAGACGTGTTTGAGGTTTGAATCCTTGTTATCATTATTAGTCTGGGTGGTTATTATTATATTGTCAGTCACACTCAATATATTTACAGTTGAGTTTGACCTAATGTTGACAGGTAGGTACAGTAACATGGCACTATGCCAGTGTACTGACGTTAAAGACACTGTATCGCCGCTCAGTGTCGTTTACCCAGAAACAATGACACCTGTCGATGCCACACACAGAGAAAGATCTACTTGTGCAGTTGTCTTGTACTCCTGACTTCCAGTGGTTGACTTTATAATACCTTCTCTAGCCAAGCTGACTACCTTTATACACCAAAGGTTTGTGGGATGTTGGGATCTAGGGTAGTTTACTGTTTATCAATAATCTTTCTTTCAGTATCATTACATTTCTTTAATTTTATTCAATTCACCCATGAAATCCATATGCATTCAATAATTTTATTTATATCATGTATTTGAAGATACATTGAAACATCATGCTGTAGTTAGCTCAGAGGTTTCTTTCTACAGTGAAAAACAAATACATTTTAAGTGCATTGCACCTTTTGAATAAGGCACAAAATATTTTATTGAGAATAGTTTTAACGTAGATATGGAGTCTAGCTGATCCTCAAGAAGGGCCTCTCAATTACAATACAATTTTCACCCGATTTAGCTGATTATTAAGAACATGTATGAAAATGTTTGTAAATTCAAAATTGATTCAAAGCCTTAGCTGTAATGTCATCAGCACTGATACCTCTTTCATTCTACATTACATCTTGGATTTTAGTTACCTGTCAGGTGCCTTACCTCTAACCTCTGACCTCCATGTGTCTTCATTCAGTCATTCATTCATTATGTTTGGAAAGACAAATCTCAAATCACATCTGACCTCATGTAAAGCAGCCCGATTTAGTTTCCACGTGGTAACAAAATCTCTTCATGAAACAATTAAAACTGCTTCTACAACAACAAACAAACATGTTGGCACCCAGACACTCATCCCGTACACATACAGTATTCACACACTCGCTATTGAGCTATGTTCTTTTTCATTTCCGTTCAGGGTTCTGCTCTCTTTCTCCAAAACAGAAACTTTTTATTTGCTTGATAATTTCAAGTTTATTGGACACATCACTGTGCTTCTCATTGTCTTTGTGTTAAATCTCCTGAGCATCTTACCAGGCAGGAGCAGAAGTCCTTTAAATTCACATATACGTTTGGGGCGAATACTCTCAAATTGTTTTTTAGATCTTTAGGGGACGAATGAAGAAAATTAATTACTGCATTGTATTCCTTTGCTGGTGGAATCCAAGAGCTGTATTGCTAACAGGGTAAAGTAAAGAATGACTTTACCAAAGAAAAGAGTATTGCTTGTATCACACACATTAAGTCCTGATCTTTAGATGTCATCGTGTCCTTGTGCCAACAGACACTGAATCCATACCAGCTCCATGGGATGCATGTTGACCCTGCTGGTATTAGTGGATAAAAGCACAAACAACAAAAAAAAAAAAAAAAAAAAATCTGAAGAAAAAAGAACAAGAAAAGAAGATCAGGTTCAACAAACCTATTCACAATGTTTTCAACCAAAAAGAGTATTCTAGCTCTCCAGCCACTGTATTTTCCCTGTTGCTCCATTTACATCATATTAGCCAACGAAACGGAAATTTAAAAAAAAACCTTTTCAGTCACCAAAATTATTTGTCATCATCATCATCTTCATCCGCTTATCCAGGGTCAGGTTGGGGGGGTAGCAGGTCCAGCAAAATGATTTGTCCTCTTGGCAAATCTTTTTTCGATCCACATTCTTTCATATTCCAGTACCAGTGACATCCAGTTTAAAAGAAGAAGTAGATTCCAGTTGTCCTGATGGTGTTGAGATACTTCTGACAAGAAATATATTTGAAGTATATCATCATGGTGCACCCTATGTCCTCCACACGTACACTCTCTCATGCACTACACTAAGAGCCTTTTGTATAATTGAATTTCTAATTACAAAGGTGGTTTCTATGTTTCTATAACAGGAGAGGAGTTGGTCGTATCCACGCATTTCCTTTGAGAAGTGTGTCTGTGCATGTGTATGTGTGTTTGTGTGTACGTGTGATAATCTAGTGCATTTAAGCAAGAGAAGGTCTCAAGTCTCAAAGCATTCGTCCTAGACACTCACGTCAACGAATACGAGAGTGAAAGAAATACAAGTGGCAGATTAGAAATGAAGGAGGGAAGCAAAGAAGAAGATGTCAGTGAGGTAAAGTGGTGATAGAAGTAAGAGAAGAGTAAAACGTAAAGCAGATGGGGTGAGAAGAGAGAAAGTGTGGGGGAAGTATGATGTTTCCCACTTTAGGGACTGTATGAAAATGATTTTCAAAAAAGCAAGGCCCTCCCCGGCATTGTTAAAGAGTTCAGTAGATCCTCCCCTTGAAGTATTGCAACACCCTCTCCCTTAATTTACAGTATCAGATAATATAACTAGTACTACTTGTTAAGTCATAAAAACTTCGGGTGCTTACTACTAAATTTGGACCAAGAACTGAGCAGTTATTTCCACTGCAAGAGACTGATTGAACCAGGCTCAGGTGACAAGTTGAAGTAAAATATTAATCTGGGGTAAGTATAAATGAAAAGATCCTCTTATGTTCTTCAGATTGCCCTTCCTTCAGGAAAAAGATAAAACACATAATCCTCCATGTTTTTTGACCCCTTCTCGCCCTAATAACTTTAATACAGTCCCTGAGCACAGTATGTAGATTTCACAGTTAAGCCTACAGTCATCCTGCTCTTCCAGTCCAGCTTTAAAGGTCAATTCATTAAACACTCATCCTACCAACGTATTTAACATATAACTTGTGTCAGAATGTCTGCTGTAAAAAAGGCCTACTGTCCCGCCCTAACAGGTACAGCAATACTAACAGTGAGGAAGCTGTCAATCAACCTCAGTCTACACAAAAAAGTCTAATTGGCAACATAAGTGAAACACTTATATGAAACATTTATATAGGTGGACTTTGTGTAAAGGGGCTTTATTTAATATTTAAATAGATTAAATTAGCCTTAGATTATTAAATAGGCACCAAGATGCTAAAGGAGACTTTTTTCTTTGCAGTCATTTTGACAATAAATAGTTTTACCAACTAGTGAACCAACATGCACAATAGCAGCATCCTGACTCTGTTTGACCTGAATGGAGGAGAACCTTAATTAGTATCATTGGTAACACCTGTGTTTACCCTACTATTTCATGTCAAAATGACTGCTGTGAAAAAGGTCTATTGTTCACCCTTCACTTCTCATAAAATGTGTTGCCGAAATAAACCCTTCTGTCTTCTTTGCAGGAGACAATGAGGGACAAGATCTACACCCCATTGTCTGTGGAAAGTGCTGTTGATGCCAGGTGAGAGAAAGCTACATACCCAGCATGCACTGCATGAAGATGTATCATTTTTCCTCGAGGGGTATTTTGCATGTGATACCTTTCTGAAGGGGAAATGTCACTGAATTAGCCATTTTGTTCCCATTAAGATATTTTCTTAAAGTAGTGGAAGAAGTAATTTAGTTTTAGTATTTAGTATGAAAATGTAGAACAAAAATAATTTCATTAAAAAAATTAAATGACTAAATTTGAAGATTTCACTGGACCATGGTAATCTGAAAAGTAACTAGTAACTGAAGCTGTCGGACAAATGTCATGGAGTCCATTATCTGCCTCTGAGATATAGTGGAGTAGAAGTATAAAGTTGCATTAAATGGAAATACTCAAGTAATATTCAAGTAACTGATTTTTTTGTAAATTGACATGCTAAATCACAAGTAAGTACACATTATATATACATTTGGGAAGGCCCTATCTGTTGTTATTAAAATACTTTTACTGCTCCCTAATCTGCAATGACAATCGGATGTACATTTAACCAGAGATTAATGTCTGTTGGCTCTTACATGATCCTTAATAACCCGTCCTATATGTCATAACGTCTAATTCATTCTTTCTCACACCACCTTAAAGATAATAGTGAATTATGGATGGAGCATGTTTTAATTCCTCTCTGTCTCTCTTCCTTATTTCTATCCAGTATTCTTGTCCCACACTCATTAACTGTCTATCACACACTAATATTTGTCCTCCAGAGATGCTGTTGCCAAGATCCTGTACTCGCTCCTCTTCCACTGGTTAACAGAGAGGATCAATGCTCAGGTGTACCCCCGCCAACACACCCTCTCCATCTCTATCCTGGACATTTATGGATTTGAGGTAAGCAAATTTTCTTATTTGTTTACACTCCTCCATACAGGATGGATGAGCATCTTATCAGCTGTCTGTCACTTCCTTCTGTTGCACAGCTCAGAGACTCCACAATAATCACTCTTTAGACATGTAGATGAGACATAGAACAAACCAGTTGTGTGTATTTGTATGTGTGTGTGTGTGTGTGTGTGTGTGTGTGTGTGTGTGTGTGGGAACAACAGGATCTGGCCTTCAACAGCTTCGAGCAGCTTTGCATTAATTATGCAAACGAGTACCTGCAGTTCTTCTTCAACAAGATCGTATTCAGAGAGGAACAGGTGAGTCGACGTCACACCTACGGGCACACACACACACACACACACACACACACACACACACACACACACACACACACACACACACACACAAAGCATAATAATAATGAAACAATAATAAGACATGTTAATTCAGCAGTTCTGGGGACCCTCTGGGGTCCTTGAGATGGTTCCGGTTCTATTATTTCATTGACTAGAAGTTTGCGAAGTAAGTAGTAGTAGTAGTAATTTAATAAGAATGAATTTCTGTGCATATGTTTCATGCTCAATTACTTTGCAGTTTTTCTGCCCATCTTAAATCTAGACAGTTATTGAATCACTGTCAAAAATCAAATGTTTATCCATTTGGGGGTCCTTGACACCAATAAAAGAACCACTGTGTTAATTAAATCTGTATATAGACAATGGATTTGTGCATTTGTGTGATCCCCATTCAGGAAGAGTACACCCGGGAACAGATCCCCTGGCAGGACATCCCATTCAGTGACAACCAGCCCTGCATTGATGTCATTGCTGCTAAACCTCATGGGATACTCAGGATTCTGGATGACCAGAGCTGTTTCCCACAGGTGGGGCAGGAGAAACCCAAGGAAAACCTGAAGTCACTTACAAATCTGTTTTACCCACAGATTAAACTATTGTACATGTCTCTGCTTTGTTGCCAGGCAACAGACCACACTTTCCTCCAAAAGTGTCACTATCACCATGGCCACAATCCGCTGTATCTGAAGCCAAAGATGCCCCTCCCAGAGTTCACCATCAAGCACTTTGCCGGCCGGGTCACCTACCAGGTACACAGCGCCTCATTCGCTCATCTCAAGTGACAAAACCTTCTGTTGGCCTGTCAGTTAGCAAGAGAATGTTTCTGATTCAGAGACATCAATAATGTTATTGATAGCTGATCTGTACCGTGAGTATAGCCATTCTCCATTCATGGAATCTTAATGACTTTGATGATCCCATGACTTTTCCTGTAGACTCTTTAGACAATAAGAGTCTAATAAAAACTTTGATGTGACGATGGCGCAGCAAGAAAAGTTAAGGCATCACCAATTCATCTTGCGGGGGATATGAATGTCGGAGCCAAATTTCATGTCAACAATCCATCCCGTTGTTTTTGGGACTGATCTTGTAATAATTTGTGATGTCGATGATGCAGGTTTACAAGTTTCTCGATAAGAACTACGACCAGGTCCGTCAGGATGTTCTGGACCTGTTCATTCAGAGTAAGAACAAGGTGAGAGGAGCATCTTCACATTAACGTATGCATGTATGATCATGTTTATTCTAATTCATGTGAACATAAATAATGTACTTATAAATGCTGTGAATGTATTTTTGTGTCCAGATGGTCTCAAACCTCTTCCTGGTTCACGCAGAGGTCATAGGTCAGCAGAGAGGAGGTCACATGAGGAAGAGCAGCACAGTCACCAGAAAATACCAAGCTCCCACTGTCAGCAACAAGTTCCAACAGTCCCTGCTAGAGCTAGTGGAGAAGATGGAGAGGTGAACCTGAGAGAATTGGAAATATATACTCTTAGAAAATAATTAATGTCCACAAACTGGCACAATTTTCAGATTTCACATGAATTATAAGCAAGAATGTTATTTCCAATCCAAGAGACAAGTTTTTTGCATTGGAAAATAAAATGAGTTGGTTACTGATGTTACTGCTCACATGGTTTAATCTTCCATTTCAGGTGCAACCCTTTTTTTGTTCGCTGTATTAAGCCAAATAATATGAAGGTAGATTTTCAAACATTCTGTGATTTAATGATGACACTGATCACTTCACAATGAGTTCAGTCTGTACCCTGGAGTTAATGACAGTCATTGTTTTTTGAATGTGCTTACGTGTTCATCTACGTTTAGCAACCAGGTGTGTTTGAGGACGAGCTGGTCAGCAGCCAGCTGAGACACTCAGGCATCCTAGAGACCATTAGGATCCGTAGGGAGGGGTATCCTGTCAGAATGCCATTCTACATCTTCCTGTTCAGGTAACATAAACACATCACTGGATGGTGGCAGCCATTTTGGTGCTTCTCTGTGGCTTCTATCACTGCGTCATGAAACCATGAAGGTTTAATTTAACACTGTCTCATCCATTCTGCTCAATAGACATGATCTATAGATTGACTAACAATGAGGATATGGAATTAGAATGGGTTATTGCATATAATGGATGAAGGTGAACCAAGATAATGTCCTGTAGAAGGGATGGAGTGATGAGGCTCAAGGGATGAAGGATGAGGGATGGATAAGGGTTGAGGGTCGAAGGGGGTGAAGGAATAAGGTGGAGGAAGGGCGAAGGATGAAGGGATTAGAGGAGAAATCAGGGTTGTGGACGAATGGATGGAGGAGTTTGAAGATGGACTGTCGGCTCGTGGTGGGAAGATGGGGAGGAACCGTGAGGGAGTCAAGACTTTGATAAAGGTTAGAGCCCCAGTAGCTACTGTATTTCAACAAGAGAGTGAGAAGGGAAAAGAAAAAAAGTGAATGTATGCTTTTTTATACTTTTTGTGCGGAAATAAGAGGAGTTCAACGAATGGTCTTTGTTCCTAAACCTAGTTCTAAAACTTTTTTTAAACAGAAAAGTTTTGAAAAATAGAAGGTTTTATACATAGGGGGATGTAGGATTAGTCATTTTATGCACAAACAAGTTAAAATGACTTTTCTATATCCTCCCATTAGCATTCTAACACACAAAACTAAGATAAATAGTAGCCACCATCAGAACAACACATTTTTAAATATCTTTTGGAAGAATGATGTTCACCCTCCCAGTAGAGTTCAGAAACGTTTTGAATCTCTGCCGCAGAACATTGAAGCAGGCTTATTAGGGTCCAAGACTTTACTAAAACACTTTATTGTGGGTTTCCCTTTAATTTGTCAACAATCTGCATCTACATGTAATGCAAACTTGAACACATAGGTAGGGAGGTGGGTGGTTAGGATGGGAAGTGATAGCTAACACCTAAAAAGATAGAGCGCCACCTGTTGCAGCAGACCGCTTCATTCTTTTGTGTGTGTGTGTACATGCATGTGATTGTGTGTCATTCCCAGGTATAAGTCCCTGGTGGGGATACGAGAGCCTCCAGCGGCCAATGGAGAGAACTGTGTGATAATGCTCAGTAAACTGTGTCCCCTCAGACCAGGAGCCTACCATGTTGGAGTCACAAAGGTGAGGCTCTCCTCTCATTTGACAAACTAACAGAAAAACAGCCATACAAGCTTTGGTGGTGTCAAGTGACAGTTGTTATGTTGGGCTACACCTCCAAACTTTATTTTGTTTTTTGTTTTCCAAATGACTCATACACATGTGTGCGTGTCTGTGTGTGCATGTGGCAGCTATTTCTGAAGGAGGACATCTACCAGTTGTTGGAGTGTAAACGGGAACGCACTCGACAACTTGCTGCTCTCACCCTGCAGCGTTACACCCGCATGTTCTTCGTCAGGAAACGCTTCGTGGCCTTCCGCAAGAAGATCATCGGGCTGCAGGCACAGTGCAGAGGCTTCCTCACAAGGTCAGCATCTCTGCTACTGCTAGTTTTACAATTATCAACAGATTTGTGGACATCCACCAAGTAAGAAGCCTGATTTAGTTGACAGGCAAGCTTTTATGTAAGACTTTTACTATCTTGATTGTTTACCATTGTAGTAGTGTGAAAAACAAATGAAGGGAGACCCCAATACACAGACATTAAAATGGGAAACAGAGATTTTAAAACAATGGCACATTATGGTATAGTTTAAATCAATGGTAAGAAAAATAGTTAAACCTCTTATAAGGAGTTTTTAACTGGTTATGAACTTTCAAATTGCTTCAGGTGAGAACGGCATTATCCAAAATAAAAAGAATTTAGTTTCTTGGTGTCAATGATGATGTGAAATTCCATGGTGCTCCAATTCTCATTCTGCCCTCCAGGAAGCGCTATGTGAAAATGAGGGAGAGTCTGGTTCGGTTTCGATCTCTTGTCCACATGTACGTCAACCGCAAGAGATACATCAAGGTACATGAAGTCCACTTTCAAAGGACAATACATCTCCTTTCATACATATACATAAACAACATAAATCCCCCATGCGTATACTGGATGGAACAGAAGTGAAAATGTTCAGTGTATGATTTCCGCAATCTGTTTGCAGATGAAGTTTGAAGCCCACAGGAAAGTTGAAGAGGAGAGGAGGAGGAGAGAGATGGTATGATGGAAGTTTAGACTCTGTTTTCAAGGGAAACTGTCTAAATGTATTGTCACTTTTCAGATGAATTAAAAACAAAACAATAACTCTTTCAGGAGCTGACCAAGAGGGAGGTGGTGAATGTCACACACTTGGTGATCCCTGCAGAGCTGGGAGCTTTACTGCAGACAGCAGGAGGTCTGTCAATGTCTGTCTTCCTTTTTGTGAAGTCCACATTAATGTTCACACACATATTATTTATGAACCAGATTGCTGAGCACTTCATTCAGCCCTTTGCATCTCATCAGCGCCGACAGTATCAGCTCCAGAAATTATTTGAATAGTCCTGACAGATTGGGACGTGAGTGGAATCAGTTGCGTAATATACCACAAGGGAAAGAAACAACACACTTTTATCATTTAAATCACTTTATCACTTTAAGTCTACATATCATGTCTGGTCAGCTTCAGCAGTAGCAAATGTAGCACAGTACACATTCATATATTTCTAGTTGATGAACTCCAGTTTTTTGGTAGTTTTCGTGTTGAAACATACTTTAAAGCACTCCATGCTCCTACAGTCCTACAATATATGTATGCTGGTCTCTCTCTCTCTCGTTCTAGTCAGGAGGGAGTTGCACTCCGACTGTTTGGCTCTGCTTCAAGCTCCTCATATCCAGGAAGAGGGTCAGCTCACTCTGCCTCTGGACATCAACAATTACCCGTTCTACCGCTACGTACAGATCTACTTCAGGGTGAGATTTGCATCAGCTTCACTCCTACAGACCAACTTGAAACATACTGTATATGGTATAACTAGTGTAATTGTTGTTATTGCCCAGATTTGCATTCATAAAACTGCCCTGTAAAAATTTTACATATCTGCTGAGTCATAAAGGGAAGCAATTTTAGTTTTTTCATGCCACCGAACTGAAACTGATTAATAAGGACACCGACAGAAACATGACCCTCTCACTCACAAAATTACAGCACTTACTACAGTACTACAGTAAATCAGAAAAGGCTAATCTTTATTATTATTATTCCTGAAACTGATCCAATGCTGGACTGTAAAACTCAGGTTATAACATCAAGAAGCCAAGTCCAAGAGAGTGACAATGTCAGTTTACAGAACAACAAGGGGTCAGGGAGAACTACACCACTGTGTTAATGCACCCTGAATGCACACGTGGTGTAGATGTGCTTCCTAAAACAATTTTACATTTTTTTTGTTGCCACAGGAACCAAAGTTTGGGATGTTGATGGCACCTCTGGAGGCACCTCTGACCCGTATAGAAGATGACCTTAAAGGAGAAGCTCTGGAGCTCTTCATCATGGTAGTCTGACTTCTCTAAAAACTCAACTTTCCTATGGACCTGGAATTCATATTCTGCCCAGATTTATCATCTAGTCCCTAGTTCTGTGTCATTGTTGTTCTATAAAACAACTTTTAAATGTTACAAAAGTGTTAAGCTGTTTACGGTCAAATGATTCTGTAAATCAATAAAATACAGCTTTTAGCAGCAGTATTTTAGAGCCATGCTCTACAGTACACAACATGCTATAAGTAAGTTAATTGTAATGTTTTTCTGCCTTTATTTTGCTTTCAGGTGTTACGATTCATGGGCGACCCTCACCTGAACGGGGCGCAGGAGAACATGTTTGGGAATTACATCATCCAGAGGGGCCTGTTATCTCCAGGGTTACGGGATGAGATCCTGGCTCAGGTTGTCAACCAGGTGTGGAGGAACGCGAACTATGACAATGCAGAGAGAGGCTGGCTGCTGCTGCTGGCGTGTGTCTGCAGCTTCGCTCCGTCGCCCAAGATGGACAAATATCTACTGAAGTGAGCCAAATGTATTACACATGTGTACAGAAATCATATTGATTAAAATGTGCACATCCACATGCAAATGGCTGTTAGGTAGTAATATATGTTAATAAGATAAACATATACAAAACTGAAAAATCATGTAATTGGATTGAAGCTCGCTAAAAATAACAATTTATAACTATATGCCTCCATGATTGGAAAATAAATAAGGAAATGAATTAAATTGATCAAAATGTATGACAGGCTTTTGCTAATGTTTGCCACCTGTTACATTTGTAATGAAATAATTAGTAAGTTAAAATTTGATTTAAAAAAAATGAGTATAACCTTTCGTGTCTAGGTTTGTATCGGACCACAGCCCTGCTGGTTGCCAAGCATTGCTGCAACACAGACTCATCCAAGCCAATCAGAAGACGCAGCTAGGCTCAGGCTCCGCCCCCGAGACAGCGCGTACCTATCCTCTGTCGCTGCTGGAATGGACAGCCAATAGGAAGAAGGCCAACATGGTGTTGCACGTGCACTGCGTTGATGGTGAGATGCATCTTGCCTTTTCTTTTTTAATATATGTTTCTATTGAAGTAATGGCACAACACAGGTTACGTAATGCATTACCAACCTTTAAAAAAGAGTCTTCTCACCCATCATTGGTAACCACACCTAGCAGCTGATGTGTTCACAATACAACATTTTACAAAGACAAGTGCACATTTTCACAACCATACCTTTACACTCTTCTAGACAGTTCAGAATACACTCATTTACAATGCATCAACCATCCTGTGAGGTCATCAATTTAAGGACAGAGGGACAGAAAAAGCAAAAAGTCATCCACTGGCTGGTTCCCTAAAGCGCTGACAAGAAAGGTACTCCAGCCAAGCAGCAGCAGATGAAGGAGTGGTAGTTTTATGGGCTAAAAGCGATGTGAATACAGCAAGGTCTTAATGTCTTGCAAGGCCAGAATGCATTAATTAATTCAATAATACATTACGCAGTTAACTGTCTGCTCCTTTGCTCTTCCTGGGGTATCATGCCAGGAAACTTGAAACAAATCATTGGCAGCAACTATACACATAATCACAAAATGTACTGCTTTTAATTTTCTCCATTACAGTTTATTTTCAATTTAGAAAAGAAAAACAAAAGGCTTATTAAACACAATGTAAGCAGTCTTTCTCACCTAAAATTTAAATGAGTACACGCTTCAAAGCAAAGCAAGTATATGTGTGTGGCAGGGACTGCTGGCATCACTTTTATTGAGGGGGATCAATTACAGCCCTTGATCATTGATTATTCATTGCTAGTCAGGATCAGGTGAACTACAGGGCTCTCTGTCTTTCAATTGCACAATTTATTGCGTTTTGCTCATTTTCACTAAACAATTGGTGTGATTTTAAAAACTACAATGGAAAGATAGCCTACTGTTTTTGTTTACTTTATTCATTCATCTGTCCCTGTAGGAGGATCGTTTCTGTGTCCGGTCCATTCCTGGACCAGTGGAGAGGATTTAGCAGGGGACATACTGCGCCACAGGTGCTGATATCTAATAATATTATAATATTATTTTACAGCAAAACATCCACACAGTACACAATGCCTTGAGTGCAATGTACAGGCAGGTATTTAAAGTGTGTGTTCTTGCTTGTAGGGGAGTGTCCGACTGGTGGAGGGGGAGTTCAGTCCTGATGAAGGAGCACGGCCAGTGGGTGGAGTTAGCGGGTCACGACTATGTGATGGACCTGATTGCAGACCTTGAGCTTCCGAATGAATTCCCAAAGCAGAAGAGCTACTTCATCATCAGCACTGATGACCCTGCACGAGTCCGAGCTAATGCCAGCCTGTCAGTATACAGAACACTCACATGCATACATAAAATGTAGATACACCAAAGAGATTCATTTATTTCCTCTCCTCTTCTCTCAGTGCTTTGTTTGGCAGTGGCTTTGACTCAGATGAAGAGCTTCCTCCTGCCTTTCCTCTAAACAGCAGCAGCAGACCAGCCTACAGTCTGCCTGACTCTGACGGTTACTACAGCCACGGTACACACACACACACACATCTATTGTAATATAATATGCAGTAACCAGGTAAAACCAATAAGCACAATGGCAGCATAAGTTAGATAGTGATGGTTTCTGGTTGGATGGTAAAGTGTAACTCGGCTGTCTGTCTGTGTCCAGTAGAGTCGGATGCGTTCAGTGATGGTCACACTCAGAGAGGAATGGATCGCTACCTGGACAGTCTGTTTGACCCTGTGCTGTCAGACAGCAGCATTGTGAGTACTGACACTGATCTACACCTTCTGATTTAGAAACACATCAATGCTGAAGCGATTAGTTGATTAATTAATTAGCTTGTTTAATCATCAAATACACTGTAAGACATCACAAGCTGGTGTAGGGATTGAATTTACTCACCTTCAATGGTTTTCATAGTTTTCATTATTATCAGAAGAAACAACCAGAGCAGCCTTTAACATGTGTTAAAGACACAGAGTTTTAAACCTCAAACACTGCATGCTGGAAACGTACTAATCTTATCCTATATCCTATTTAGTATAGTCAAATCTCAGTAGCACTTTCATTCAACTCATCATTTTGAGTTGAAGACTAAAATTCTGAAATTAAAAATGGAAACTTGAATGTTTAAGTTTGATTCACTTTAAATGAATAAAACTTATAACTTAAAAGCTCAGTTGATATCACTAAATTGAGAAGTTTTACAGTGCAGAAATGCCTAACATTTACTGTTTCCAGCTTCTCAGATGTAAGAATTTGATGTTTTGTATTGTATTATCATATATTGTAAATTGGATCTTTGGATTGTGGACCATTGGTCAGACAAAGCAAGCAATTCCTAAAGATAATAAATTAATTAATAATGCCTTGAGTGCAATATTTACAGGTACAGGCAGATTTATACATTAAAGAAATTCTCCTTAGTTTAATGCTGAAATGCATAAAACGTTCTTGTCACGCTCCCTCCACCTGATCTGCCATCTGAGTGTGAATGGAAGGGAGTGTTGATGGACGGGTGGAACATGTGATCCACTGCTTCTGTTTGGGTATGAATGGAGCAGACAGGAGGGGGGATTAGGTTACTGTGTGACCTACCGTATTTGACTATAACAGCAGGAAGCGTGCATGCACAGCTGTGTGGGGATTACTGTCCATTAACAACGTCACATTTTGTGTATTTGGGAAAACAAGAAAAGCCCTCGTATTTGGGAGGAAACAGGAAGAAAGTGTAGGTATGTTTAGGGTGTTAACTAGGGATGTCAAAGAGAGTGTTGGTGGTAAAATTAGAACATTTCATTTGGATTTTCTGACGACAAATCTGAGCAGTAAAGCATTTTCCCAGGAACCTATCTATGTGGTTTTGTTGTGTTGAAGCAATAGGGTTCGTTATGTTGCAGAACATTTCGTTAGATTCTTATACTTGTGCTGGAGCTTCTCCTCCAGGGTCTACGGTACTTCCTGCGGAGTATTCAGTTCCTGCGGCTCTACTGACTCCCTCACAGAGGGTCTGAATCAACCAATACAATCCACTCCCTCTCCCTTGATCCCTCAGCGTCTCCACACACACATTTCTTACCCTGCTCTTCATGTCTCTCAAACTCCACTTTCTCAACATCTACAGTCGTCCTTTTCCATCTGCTGAATCTCTGTTCCCTGCTTCTCTCTGGCTACCAGGACATGGAAAAGACTGGAAGTTTGTCAGCGAGGATGAAGGGAGGAGGAGGTATAGGCATCACAGGAGGAGGAGGAGAGGGGGACATTCATTCGGCCCCCAGCCGGCCTTATCCACCAGGAATACATCCCGGAGGTAAACACTGAAGTTACTGAGTGTGTTTTGTGTTAGTTACTGTATATATAGTGTTAGTGCCACTTGTCCATTAGTTTTTCTTTATATTTGTATTTTTTTTATTTAGTTTTATGTCTTTCCTTATTCTTCTTCTGTCTTTCATTTTTTTGGGATCATTTTTGTATTATTTCTAGCCGTTCTTTTGTCCTGCCACTCAAGCCTTTCTCTTACTCTTTTTATCACCCCACTGACATCAATAATTCAGCTTGTTCTAAGTTGGTTCTAAATCCTCGTCATTAGTCTCAGGTTGGTAAAGAGTTTTGCCCTCTTTCTGCACTTTAGAGCTTCCCCTGAATGCTGGAAAAAGTGTTTTGGGTTACTCTGTTTTTAACCTTAATTTCCTGGGTAACTATTGATATCTGGTCAAAGGTAAAAAAAAAAAAAAAAAAAAGCAATACAAAAGTAAACAACCAACAGACAAATAGACAAATGCAGGAATAAAAATGCAGAATATTGAAGGTGTTAAACACAGTTACAAACAAAAAGGCAGGTGAAAAAATCAACAACAAAAGATCATTAGTAATATACTGTATGTATTATTGTTATTATTTCCATTCTGTTTAAGGGTGAATGCTGAAGTGTCTCAGCAACACTGAACAGGACTGAAGTGTAAAAGTTCAGGTGTACAGTTCACCAACCTTAATCTGTCGCTTAGAGGCCACAATGGGCAGTCTGACCTCATAGATAATGCATAGACAGCCATTCACTGTAACCACACATGACTCCTTTACCCTCTATAGGCACCTGTCGCTCTCCTTCTCTCTCTTGCTACACATATTATTCTTATACTATCTCTTTCCTTCAGACACACTCACATTATCATTTACTGTCATTCTTTCTGTCGGCTGTTTTGTCAGTGCTCTACAGTCGTACAGTAGGTAAACTTAACATCTCACTATCGCTCACAAATGTATAATATTCTAAGCATCTGTAAATGTGTATTAGCTTTTTTTCTACTAGCCAAGCTTTCTCCCCTCTTTCACCCTCTTTTTTGGAGAATATGCAGTGAATATTTTCAATCTTCTGACCATTAAGTTTTATCTCGTCCATCATACAGACAGTATGCAGACAGTACGTTGAACTCCTAATTACTAATCTAAGGCATCTATCCCCATTGAAGAAAAAGGGATGAAGGAATTCAACTGCCTCTTAGTTTCTTAATAAGTGAGTTTTAGAGGTGTTGGTAGGCAGATTTTGTTACTGCTGGACTGTGCCAAGCTCGCTGTTTCCCCCGTTTACCCACTTTGCATCTTCTATACAGTTTGATGGATAGTTTACCAACACTTTGCACACCTACGTATGTAAAACATGTTGTTTTGGATCTAAACTTTCAAATATGATATTTAAAGTTCCAGTGTGTTACATGTTGGAGGCTCTGTTGGCAGAAATATGGTGAAATATGGCGGGAATATTATATTCATATGTCTGTTTTCATTAGTGTCTAATCACCTGGAAATAAGAATCAGGGTGTTTTTGTTACCTTAGAATGAGCCGTTTTTATCTACAGAGGGAGCAGGTCCTTTTCCATGGAGTCGGCCATGTTAAACCGCCATCTTTCTGCAGTAGCCCAGAATGGACAAGCCATCTGACTCGAGATAGGACCTTTCGCGTTTTGTGCTGGTTTTGCAGCCACCGTAGTTTCTCTTACACACTGCAATCTGCATCTTCACTCACTTTAACTCTTTTACTCTTACTGTGAAGTGCTGATTAGCTTGTTCTATCATGCCTGCCCAGGAAGAAAATACATCCATTTAACAGAGACTGAGTCCTGGAAGCAGCACTGTTCCTAACTCTTACCCTGTTCATTGCCTATCGCTTCTCAAGCTGTGCCAGTGCTTCCAGTAGCAGGAGGAATGATGCCACCCATCCCTGCTATGCCAATCCCCTCCCACCACCATCACCACGAACAACACCAACAACAACAACAACAACAGCAGCAGCAACCTCAACAACAACAGCAGCAACATTACCACCAATACAACCGTCCCCCACAACCTTACCACCAGACTTTTTCTACCACTGCTCCTGCCACACGTGTGGCACCCACTCCGTCACCCACTCGTGCACCTGCTGTGGCCCCCGCAGCTGATGCCAATGTAGCTTCCCATGTCACTGGTGTCCCTGGTTTGCCGGGGGTTCCCTCACTCCCTACCACTTCTGTTGTTCCAGGCTTGCCTGTGATGGCAGGTGTGCCAGGTATAATAATCGGGTGTGCATTAGGTTGTCCCGCATGTTTGGCCTGAAGCGTGTGGGCTTGGTGGAGTTACAACAAATTAAATTGTTTTTAAACTTTTTTTTATATCATGCCGTTTGGTGTGAGGTTGCAAAGTTCCTCTGTGTGGTTTGTTTGAAGTGGATGAGTCTGCTCGCTCCTTTGCAGTGATTTACATGGTGTCTATGTCTATTTCTAGGATCGGAGCAGGCAGTACTCACTCAACAGCAACAGGCCATCATCAACCAGCAAGCTATCATTCTGGTTTGTCAAATATCCTTCTTCTGAACAAATCTGATATTACTGTTGGTGTAATTTATACTTCAAGTGTGTCAAGTATTCAAGGAATAGCTCAACATTTTGGGAAGTACAACTCTCAGCTCTCATGCTGAGAGTTGGATGAGCAGATTGATGACACTCTCATATAAGGTAAATTAAGCTACAGCCAGTTAGCTTAAAGGTCCAGCGTGTAACATTTAGGAGGATCTCTTGGCAGAAAGATAATATAACTTTCATAATCATGTTTTCATCAGTGTATAATAACCCAAATATCATAATCATTATGTTTTTCTTACCTAAGAATGAGCTGTATTTATCTACAGATGCCGCGGGCCACCTCATGTGAATGGGTGATATAAGAAATAAAAGTAATATATACTGTGTGTGTTTGTGTTGCAGGCCCAGCAGATGACTATGCAGGCCATTGCAATCCAGCAGCAGATGTTGTCTTCCTTCCCCCCTGTTGCCCCCGCCCCCCAGTCACCACCCTCACAGCAGCATACACCCTTGCCACAACACTCTCACACGCCCAGCTCTGTGAGTAAACACACACATACACTGTACTCTGGGGCTGCATGAACATGAATATGGATACACCTGCCAGCACGTATACAAATCAGAAATAGTTGAAGTAAACACAAACTCAGCTGTATTACTCCCTGTTTTTCTGCAGACCAAAGAGAGTGAAGAGTCGCCGTACAAGCCTGCTGCTGTTCAGCGAAAAATGAGTATGTTTCACACTTTCAGGGTAAAATCTGCAGATTTGTTGTGTGGTTTGAATTCCATGATTACAGTGAAGCTGCAGGATGCTATTCCAGCTGGTTCCTGGATATTAAAGTTACTCAAGTTCTCAAACCGGAAAGAAAAATACTGATGCATTATGACATTGAGGATGGAAGGCCCACTGCATCACGAAATTGGGAATTGGGAGTACAAGAAGTCCATAAATATGACTTTTTAGGGGTTCCCCTGTGGTTTAGAGATTAAGACGCCAACCATGATCCACAACATCCCATGTCTGAACTTTTTTGTAATTTCTGAAACGTTATTTAAACTGAGTGAATTAATTTGTGGGTGGTATGTGATTTTATGAGGCGTGCAGAAAGAATAGAAATTGAATCCAACAGCCGTTAAATGAAATTGTCAAACATCTGCACTTGATCTAACAGACAATGACATTCCAGGTCCGACACGTGGACCCCCTCCTGAGGACGTGGTCCGATCCAGTGCAAGTAACACAGAGCGTATGGACCCCAGCCATGACATCAAAGACATTATCAAACAGCACCAGCCTGCTGGCACAACAACTTCTACTGGACCTGCCGCACAAAAGTAACACGTTCATGACTTCCTAACCTAGTACTTAAGAACTGATGATAGTATTTTGTCTGTCTGCTTAGTTGCATCTTAACCTGTGTGTGTGTGTGTGTGTGTGTGTGCAGGAAAGGTGATGGAAAGGTGTTTGCAAAGAAGCCAGACCCGCATGATGAAGCTATGGAGATCCTTAAAGATCAGATGGCAAACCCACCACCACCGGTACCCCAACTCTGCACTTGCACCACACACACACACACACACACACACACACACACACACACACACACACACACACACACATAAACATACAAGGGTTATGGTAAGGGTTAAACTAAAATAATTGTTTTTTTAAATGTCTTAGAGTGTAAAGAAACCTCAACCCTCCCAACATCAAGAAGAGAGAGGACTTAAGGTTTCCAAGACCATCAAGTCTCGCCCTGCAGGGCCAACCAGCTCCAGCATAAGCCCTGCCCCTCCTCCAGGTGAACTTTTCACATACTAATCTGACATAAATCCTAATAATAAACAGCAAAAAGTTCTTTACTCATTTCACACTTGCATGTGAGAGTGTATGGAAACTAACTCTGTGTGTGTGTGTGTGTGTGTGTGTGTGTGTGTGTGTGTGTGTGTGTGTGTGTGTGTGTGTGTGTGTGTGTGTGTGTTTTTCTAGTCGTTAGAGAGTTGCCAGTAGAAGAGGAGATCATTCAGACTCAACTCCACAGCAGGACCAGTGATGAATATTATACCTACTCCAACGTCCCCTGGAAACTCTTCATGAGGAAAGAGGTGTGTTTAATGAGCACAAAAACACATGGACAAAGATGATCCATATCGCCCTTAAAAATTTAATGGTAGAACAGATTGCTGAAACACATACTGAAAAACACATATATTACAACATAACAATACTTTTACATCCTCATGTTTTATACTTTTTAAATAAATAAATATTTACATTGTTGATCTTTGTTGTTTTTAGGTGTTCTATCCTAGAGAGACCTTCAACAATCCACTGATTCTGGATCTGATCTTCAGACAGGTTGATTTATTCATTTATTTATTTACATTCTCTTGTTTTTTCATTTATTTTGTAAAAAAAGTCCAGTGTATTACATTTAAGAGGATATATTGGAAGAAATTGAATATAATATTAGGTATGTAACTCATAAACAAAACTCTTCATGCACTGCCAGCAACAGTCAGGTGCTGGTAAGTCGCAGGACCACGTAGTAAAAAAATCATAATCAACCAGTGATCAGCAGGTGATCTGAAAAATGATTTCCGCTTTAGTGAAATGCTTTTTTCTGAAGGTGCATGTGTTCTGCAGGTTATGCAGGATACCTTCTCTGAGGCCTGCATCCGCATCACTCAGGAGGAGAGACAGAAGATGAAAGCTTTGTTTGGTATGAAAAAACACATATCCCTAAATGACTTCACTCTGTGGTATAATGGCTCATAGACCACAGAATACTATTCTACGTTTACAGAATGTGAAAGATTTTCAGCAATTGGGATCTGATCACTTCTTCTCTGTTTTGGTTGTCAGCTGAAAACAAGGTGGACCAGGTTTCAGGAACGCATGATGAGAACGTGAAGAAGAAAGTGGTCGCCATGGCGAGAGATTCTTGGGACATTTACTTCTCCCGCCTCTTCCCAGCGTCTGTGAGTTCTTGTCTCTTTCTCATATGTGAGTTGAACTGAAGTTCAAAATAAACCTAAAGCAGCCTTCTTCCATCAGTTGGTTTGATGGGCTCTTACTCGTGTGCCTGCGCTCAGTTTCATGTGTTTATGTGTGTGTGTGTGTGTGTGTGTGTGTGTGTGTGTGTGTGTGTGTGTGTGTGTGTGTGTGTGTGTTCCAGGGCAGTGTGGGGACAGGAGTGCAGGTGCTGTCTGTGTCTCATAAAGGCATCAAGCTCCTGAAGATGGTGAGGAGCAGCTCTGCTGCCCCGGACTACTTCAGAGTCCTGCGGCCTTACAGGTGAGCCTCAGACATAGTTTGTGTGATGTCAGCCATAAGTCATCAATATTTCTCCTTTTTTAAGCCTTCATACATTTTTATTGGTACATCCATTAAAAAGGAGAAAAAATAGAACTGGTGAAATTAGCTATTGATAGTTGTCTCTCTTTAAAGTCTTAAAACACCAAGAAAAGGATAATGAAGTGAGAGTGCCTGATTGATTTGACCTGAGACCCCTTTTTCTTTTTATGTGTTACTTTATGTTGACATCCTGGTTTTTGCATCTCACTTCCTTTGCAGCTACTCGGACATCCTGTTTGTGTCGATTCCGTCTAAGAACATGCTGGAGTTCAACCTGACCAACGAGAAACTGATCCTGTTCTCAGCCAAGGCCCCGCAGGTCAAACACATGATTGACTACTTCCTCACAGAGATTAAGAAGGTCAGAGGGCATCTGTGTGACAATACATACAAGGCTTTTGGTGTTACCAGTCTGATGTGTGTTCATGGTTAATATGAGAAGACATCTGCTGGTCAAACAACAAAGCTTAATAACTCAAAATTTTGTTATTTGCCACCATGCATTGGTTATATTTTGACACCAATAATTATAATAGTTTTATTTATACAGCACTTTCATAATAAGCATGCATTTTGTTACAACCTCAGAGTATAAGGGGAAGTCAAGTGCGATAATGAGATCCATGTGGCAGATAAAACAGCTAAATAAAAGCATACAAAGCAAAAGGGGTTAAACATGATGCTATGATAGAAATATAAACAAAAGCATTAGCGTGACTGAACAGTAGTCCAGTAATACATATTAACAGGGTGATCTATTATTATGTATTACTGGACAACTGCTTGATTTTAACTTGAATTTAGGAAGCTGTGTGAGATCCAGTCTTTGACATCAGCTAAACAGCTGTGTGCCGTGGCAACCTTGTTGAATTCAGAATATTTGGTGGAAGGTTTTAATGAAATTTGGGCAATCACAAGAGACAGATTTACTTTTTTTAGATTAGTCCAGCTTATTTGACATGTTTATCACTAGAGCAGTGGTCGGTAAGACTGCCCAGACTTCAAATATTCAATGTCTTCTGTATCAGAGTTCAAGCAAACTGTATCCTTCTCATCAAAAGAAGAAAAAAAAGAAGTCATTCAGGCGATTGTTGCTTTTTCTATCTGCTCATTATGCAGATAATTAAAGAATTTATGTATTTATGCAAGTAAAGACATAATTGTTTGATTAGTAATGATTAGTTATTGTAATGCGGTTACTGAATTTAGGGACAGTGAGGCATTACAGACAGATTTCAGTAATGCGTTACACTGTTACTCACACAAAGTAACAGCAGCAAACACATGAATGTAAACTATGAATCATGCAGACAGAAAGGAATGTGATGATATGTCTTTGGACCACTGGTTATTTTGCAACATGTTCAGTGTCTAACAAGTCATGTCTCTGTCAGGACTCAGAGTATGTGGTGGCGGTAAGGAATTACATTACTGAGGACAGGAGTCTGCTCAGCTTCCACAAAGGAGACATCATCAGACTGCAACACATGGACGGGCTGGAGGCCGGTGAGACGCACACTCAGGAACTCATGCTTGCACAGTGATATCTTTGTAGACCCACTTTCTGCCTCTGTAAACCTTGTACAGTATGTCTCCGCTTCTCTGTGCTTTATACCATGTCTGTCACACTGTGTGTGTGTGTTTTCAGGCAAACATTATGGCTGCATAGTGAGGAAGAAGGTCATGCTTCTGGAGGAGCTAAAGAGAGACACTCCTGAGTTTGGTGGGTTCTGTTGTGTTTGTGTGTGTGTGTTTTTACTGGTGGCCTTTGGTTTGTTCTTTTCAGTAGAGCCTTAACTTCTGTGTCCCTGACCTTTTTAAGGAGAATAGAAGATTTGGTTCTTTGTCTTAAAAGCTGAAAAATAAAAACTCAAAAACATTATTCTGGATTTTGTCCTGCTGGTTGGACACAACAAACATTTGAAGACATCACTTTGGACTTTTTCTGTGTTTGCATGTGACAGTTTTGGGTTTGTTTGTAACATTTGGTGTGTTTTTTCTGTTGCATATGAACCTCTCAGTGTACATATCTTCTGCTGTGTGTATACAGGCTGGCGGTTTGGGGCTGTGTATGGAAAATCAGGAGTGTTTCCCAGTGACTACGTCCGTCCTGTGGCTGCCCCGGACTTCCTGGTTCTCCCTGCTGAGCGCGTGGAGCCTCGAGACAGACAGGGACGAGTGGCTGCATCTGCTGCTATCGCCGTGGCGATGGGTTCAGCTATAGCTGCCCATGAGCTTGACCTCTCCACAGAGGTGCAGAAGTTATTTTATCACGTTACAGCAGAATATTTATAATCTACTGTCCAAAAAAGATACGTGATGCTTATTTTCAGCTTCCACAGTGCATCAGGAAATAAAACACCAGGCTCCGAGCAAGCATACATTTCAGATTTCAGCATGAACAATACCCCTATATTATGGCATCAGCTGCTGTTTATACAGTATATGCTGGAATATTTTGGTTTGCAGAAATGGAAATATTCTGTAGATAATTACATCTTTGGTGTTCCTTTAAGTGGCACTGCTGCTTAACTTTTTACCGCTGTGTGTGTGTATCAGGTAGTAAATGAGATGTATGGAGACAGTGTGAGCGTCGAGCTGGACGATCTGCCTCTGCACAGCGGCCAGTACCACATGGCTGAGTTTGCCAAGAAGTACTTTAGAGAGGCACAGAGGAACAAAAGGTCAGACACACAACATACTGCCAAAATAATGTGAATATGTATTAAAATGTCCTCAGCTCATATTTACTTTGAGACAAATGCCTGCTGGCTGTGTTTTGCCCACAGTGATCAGAAAGCCAAAAAGGGGAAGGAGGGCAGGGACCCTGTCGACATGGTAAAATTCTCTAAGGTAAAAGAAGTGGGGTCAAGATAAAAAAATGTCATGTCTTTTGTTTTCTAACAATATTGTGTGTGTTATATTTCTTCCTTGTAATGTTCCTGTCTCTCCAGTCTCCAATCCAGGAGTCTCTGATCGACTTCTCCGACAGTGGGATGAACAGAGTGGCTGCTGATATCTTCTTAGGTGAGAGAGGAGGGATGGATACAGATAGGAGGTAGAAGAGGAAGGTAGAGAAGCAGTCCGTGGTCACAGATGTTATTATTTTGAAATTGATAGTTTTGTAGAAAGAAATACACGTCTACAGATCAGTTTTAGGAGATCATTTATTTGCATGGTTTTCCATGTTGACTGGTTGTTTCTGTCCAGCTATAATGAAGTTCATGGGAGACTTCCCGATGAAAGGTCTGACTGAGCAGGACCTGGTCACTACTATACTGAAGGTACACACACAAACTTTCACATATTTTATAAGCACATAAAATAACAATAGGCCTGAAACAAACTGTATTTGTGTGTATTTTTACAAGCCTTATTCAAATGTGCTCATAAATGTAGTTAAGCAGCGAGCATGGTCTGATAAAGGATGAAGCCTACTGCCAGGTGATGAAGCAAGTTACTGCCAACACCAGCTCCAAACCGTAAGACATTTTAGTTCACATGCTGACTGAGGACTTAATCAGTGCTAGTGTGGCCATGGAGAGGCTTTAATTCGTAGCTTTGTGTGTATATCTGTGTGTAGGGACAGTTGTCAGAGAGGATGGAGGCTGTTGTACATCCTGACGGCGTTCCATCGTTGCTCTGATGTTATGAAGCCGTTTCTGTTGAAGTTTCTGCAGGACGCCTGTGCCACCCCCGGGATGCAGTACCAAGGTATCCACAGACTAACACTTCACACTCATTAATCCATCACTGCCAGCCTGATGCTATTCTTAGGTACCATTGATCTAAGTGTTGAGGGGCTGCTGCTCTTAACTGACAGGTATTGCCAAGGCATGTGAGCAGAATCTGAGGAGGACTTTTCAGTATGGCGGACGCATACAGTATCCCAACAGCATGGAGCTCAAAGCTATGCTGGTTAGTCACTTATTTGTTCATTCAGTCTTCTTATGTGGCTTGATTTAACCTGGCTTAACCTGTTTAAAGTGTTAAAATGTGCACCAAACCAAAAAGGAAACCACGAGGCAAATGATTTGAGGAACTAATAATGTAATGATTGCTGTACAGTAGGATGGAATACTTTGTTCAGTGTAAAGGAAAATACAAAATGATGTTATCAATATATCCACTAAATTGTATTGTAATGATACATCAGCATATTTTATATAAAAATAAAATGTATCACTACATGTTTGTGTAAAAGCTAATTTTATTACAGATTATTATAAAGCCATTATAAATTAAGCACAAATGTTTGGAATGAGTTACATTTTAGGATTACTAATACTATAGTAGGATTGATACTTTTCCACGTATGGCATTTGTCATATTAAAGTGTTTGGCAGCTGGTTTCCTGCTCTCAGTAACAGCAACCCCTGCTGTGACGTCTCCCTCTGATTGGTTGTTTGTATGCAGGCTGGGCGGAGCTCCAAGAGACAGCTGTTCCTGCTGCCAGGTGGGATCGAAAGGCACTTAAAAATCAAGACTTGCTCTGTGAGTGCACACACACACACACACACACACACACACACACACACACACACACACATTCAATGAAATGATTGTATCAATTCTGAAAGGAAAGCATCGTGCTAGTGGGTAGCTTTATTAGACCAATCAGGAAGTAGCAAGAGTGGGAATGACTGTAGCTTTTAGACATAGCGAAAAACAGATGCTGCATTTTGGGGTCAACATGATAAGGATTTCTTTATTTCAGGTTGCTTTGGATGTCATCGAGGAGCTCTGCTATGAGATGGGACTACACAGGGCAGAGGCTTTGGATGAATATGCAGTCTTTTTGGTCACCCACAGAGGTTAGAAGGATGTAGCTTGTTATAGAAACTAGAATTACAATGCAAGGCCTCTTGACATACAACAATACACTACAGATAAACAGATAATAACTGAAGTGTGTGTCTGTGTAGGTCAGAATGTGCGTCCCCTGAACAAACGCGAGTACATACTGGACATCGCTACAGAGGCAGAGCCGGTTGACACCAACTACAGTCTGTGGTTCAGAAGAGTCATATGGAGTCTGGCGCTCAAACTTGACAACGAACTCTATGTCACCATGCACTATAATCAGGTAGAGATCTGCTGTGTGAACCAAAGGACGGATGATGTCCTGTTTCTACTTCTTCCTGTGTGACTGGTTTTATGATTCACACTGTCACATGAAGATACAGTAGATATTAAGTCTATAGTCTCTATTGCAGAATTGCAGTCATATGTTCTACTCATAAACCATGGGGAGACCAGATCCACGTCCGTCTCTTTTCACTTTATGGGTTTCTGCAGGGAAAATGTTTCCTCTGTTGAAACATGCATTTTTCCTGTGTGGTTTGCTTGACCGTCAGCTGACGTCAAAAGTACATTTACTCAAGTACTGCAAAATACAATAAAATAAAACTAAAACTTAAATACAAGTACAACAGTAACTACGCTACAGTACACATTGATGCATCAATATTAACAATTGAATAGTGGCACATACTGTATTTAATATAGCAGAAATAAGTACTTTTACTTTAATACTTCAAGTACATTTTGCTGCTAATACTTGTGTACATTTAGTAGGATTTCTCATGCAGGACTTTTACTTGTAATGGAGTATTTTAACATTGCTGTAATACTACTTTTACTTTGGTAACATATCTCTTCTTCCACCAATGGCTGATATCATTTGTTGCTTTGCTAGTTTTGTAACAGCAGCAGACTTCACTTCAAGGTGGCAACTAGCACAGTCTGACAAGGAAGATGTGTCAAGATTTAAACATTTTCTGTCACAAAAAGAGCAGAAACATAAATTAAAATAAAAACAGACTAAACTGTACTCTGTGTCTCTGCTCAAGGTGTTGCCAGACTACCTGAAGGCCTTGCTGAGTGTGGTTCCTCAGGGTAAACCCAGTGAACAGCATATGCAGCAGATTGCCAGACTGGCTGCCCTACAGCACCGTGCCAAGGACACCATCTACCTGCCCACCCTGTAAATATACACACACATGAAACAGGCCATTTGCTGGACGTTCGACACAGTACCATGAATACTTGCTCCCTAACTAACACTTTGTGTGTGTTTTTAGCCGGGAGGTGCAGGAGTGTGTCCCCCCACCTTTCTACAGCAAACAGGGTTCACAGCCGTGGCTGAATATGACAACTCAACACATGCAACAAGTCCAGCCTTTAAACCCATACCAGGCCCGCGCACAGTTCCTTGGTAAGACACCTCTTTATGAGTGTGTGTATTTCTGAGAGTGACTTAAAGGTCCACTGTGTAGGATTTAGTGGCATCTATCAGTGCATTTGCACTCGATTGGCCTTCCCTTTCCAAGCGCGAGAAAGGGTGGCCGCGAACAGCCGTATCTAGAGCCAGTGTTTGGTTTGTTCATTCAGAGCTTCTGTAGAAACATGGTGGCCTCCATGGAAGATGACCCAAGGTGTCTGTAGATAACAACAACTTATTCTAACGATACAAAACATAGTGACTATTATTTTCAGGTGATTATTATATTATATATCAGTTTCTGACAATAGATCCTCCTAAATGTTACACACTGGACCTTTAACAATAGCCTCCATAGAAGCCATAGAAGTATTGAAATGTTGCTCAGTAAAAATATTTCAGTAAAAAACATCTTCCTCAGAACAATGAGTGTGCTGGCTTATTAAAAGTGACCCTTCGTGTGTTTTTTGCCCAGGTCTGGTCAGTGCCTTCCCCATGTTTGGCTCCTCCTTTTTCTACATTCAGAGCTGCAGCTCGGCGTCCATCCATGCCCCCTGCATCCTGGCTGTAAATCTGAATGGACTGCACTTTCTTAACAAAGATACTCATGTATGTCACATCACACATGCACACTGTGCAGCTGAAAGTGTGTAACAGTATGCATTTGAAGCAGTAGTTGCACTCTTTAAACATTGCCTTGATATATTTACATTAAAAGCTAACTAATGCAAAAATTTAATTATTTCAGAACAAAGCATGTGGCTCCATCTGCTGGTTATAGAGTTTGCCTCCATTTTATTACTTAAATAAATATAACATTTCCCTCAATATTAAATCTTGTATTTTTTGTGTATTTTGATATCTGTGTAAATATGTCTGTAAGAGAGTGTTTGTAAGTGTATGTTTCTTGTGATGCCTGTTTGTGTGTGTATTCATTGATTTTTGTGTGATTGTGTATGATTAGGAGGCCATGGTGCGTTTCCCTCTGAAGGAGGTCCAGTCAACTCGCACCCAGAGACCAACTTCAGGCTCCAGTTACCCATATGTGGAGATCATGATAGGAGACCTGCTCAACCAGCGCATCACACAGCTACAGCTAGAGCAGGTGTGTGTGTATGTGTGTGTGTGTGTGTGTGTGTGAGAGAGAGAGAGAGAGAGAGAGAGAGAGAGAGAGAGAGAGAGAGAGAGAGAGAGAGAGAGAGAAACAGATAATGTGTACATATATGTATGTATGTATGTAATTTCCACTGTGCATTTTACTCACCTTAAATGTCATGCTGTTCCTGTATGTCCGTGTGTGTGTGTGTGTGTGTGTTTGTGTGTGTGTGTGTGTGTGTGTGTTTTCCAGGGCCTGGAGCTGTGCCGAGTCATTGCCATGCACATGGAGAACATGTTGTCAGTCAGAGAAAAGAGACTCACTTTGCCTCCAAGTGAAATCACCCTGCTATAGCACAGACAAATCACACTTTATGCCTCATAAATGTACTGTATCTACCTCTAATTTAAAAAATACAATATTTTCATATGTAAAGGTAATGTTTCTGTAATGCGAGGAATGTATGGTTGTAATGTGGATGACATAGTTTGCTAAGCCAGGGGTATTCAGTTAGGGTTGCAACCAACAATGATCTTCCTGATTATTAATCATGAAATGTCAGAGAAGAGACATTGAAAACAATTTCCCACAGCTAAAGTTGTCACGTTCAAATGGCTAGTTTTGTCCAACCAACAGTCCAAACCCCAAATATAGTCAGGGATTATTTCCACACCATGAACATAAATCAGGGAAAGGCATATATAGTTCACTTATCATGACACATGCATCCATTATGTCAGTACAGACCTGTTCCTTGCACACACTTACACTTACACACACACACACACACGCACACATGCCACTGAGTTTAATGCATATATGTGTCTATGAGTAGAAACTGAGAGTCAGATATGGATAAATGTCCTTTCAGACTGAACTCATTTTTTTTTTAGCCAAAACTGTTTATTGTGTCTGCCATGGCTGCTTTTTAGGGCTGAGACTATAATGGATAAGACCTCTTCCATTTACTTTAACAACCCCACTTCAGAAGAATTGTTTTGATTAGCCTTGATTTAAAATTGTGGTTTATCACTGAACAAGGGTAGGAACCCCTGCTGTAGTTGGCTTTGTACATAGAAACTGAAATGTGCGAAACTGAAGAGAATAACTCACAAACTTAAGTATAACCTTATCTTCCCTTTAACAGATGCTTGTGGTTTGACATAAGACTTTTTTCCCTTTAGGCTTTGGCCTATATATGCAGGAGCAGCCTTTAAAATATTTGTGAACCCATAAGATTGTTTTTATTTTTTAACAAAGTTGCATTACAATTTAAAATGAAAACAAGAGAAGGCAGCCACAAGAACCTCAAAGAATTCAAATCAGCAATTCAATTAATTTTCTTATTTTCTTTCCTGTCATGAAATAAAGGGAAAGATACAACAGGGGAAACATATTTTGGGGAAGCACATTTTATCAGTTATCAGCCACATCAATTAATACTTTGCACTAATTAAAATGATTATTTATACTATGTATATATGTTTTATATGTAGCTGTTGTACATAACTAATGCATGTGAATAATGTTGTAAATTAAAGTTTGTAGCATAATTGATTCTGGTGTGTGAAATTGGTTATTTTTTAATGAACAACGTGGGCATCCACAACAAGTTTAATTCTTAAGATAATATATGAAATATATTAAAATACTAATTAACTACAGCAGATAAAATACAAGACAAAAATAGATAAATAGTTAAAACAAATATAAACTGGGTGAATTCTGCAGGGGTTTTAAGATAGACCGACATCAGTGGTTGTTCATAAAATACAATATTATAAATATATATATAATACAAATAAATACAATTATTTATGGAAGGTAAGAATTCTCCCTAATGCAAAAATAAGTTGTAAATATAATAATTTTATAATATTAAGAATCAGTTTGATTATACCAGAAAGTAGTTTATTAATATTAACAAATATTTCAATAAAAGGTGAACAAGTTCCCTTGCTTTGCCTTTATTAACTCTCACTAGCCATCTACTGTCTGTTTGTTTAATTTCCTCCACCGGATTCACCGTTTATCGCCTCGTATTGAGCGGATGCATGTGGAACTTCCACCCGGTGCGTCCCGTGCTACAAACCGAGCACCCCCCTCCATCCAGAGCGCTTTAGCTCTGTGGGCGTTTCCGAGTAAATTGCTCGCAGATTTCTTCGCCCTCATTGGTTAACAACAACGGGGTCCGTGTGAACCGGGAAGAGGGAGCAGCAGCAGCAGCAGAAGGAGGAGGATGATGATGAGGAGGATGATGAGGAGGAGGAGGAGGGTTGCTGTGGTCAAACCCACCACGACCTAAACAGCGCCAGGAGGGAGAGGAGGGAGGAGAGCCGCAGCCCGCAGCAGCAGCAGCAGCGTCGCAGCCCCGCTTTCAGCCTGCATGGGCTAGTCGGTTTAGCTAGCTTAGCATCGTCCGACTACGCCGCACCGCCGAGAAACCCCCGGGTTGTTACCTCAAGTGTTTTCCTCTCCGTCCCATTTACCCCCCCCCCCCCGCCGGCCGGTCCTGTCTCCCTCCTGCCCGGCTTCAAGATGATGAAGTTTAGGTTTCGTCGGCAGGGCACCGACCCGCAGAGGGAGAAGATAAAACAGGAGCTTTTCGCCTTCAACAAGGTAAAGTAACGGGACAGAGGAGACGGTAGGGAAGAGATGGTTGCCTCCTCCTCTTCCTCTCATGCTGCTCCCCCCAAAAACTATCTATCTCAAAACGGGACCAGATATTAAGTCCAGCACTGTGCAGCGTTAGTCCCCGACCGCCCCTCTCTCGGTCGCTGCTTTCTGTTTCCAGATAGAGACTGAGATTAGCTGATAATCTGCTGCTGATGGAGGGACGGACGTCTTTTTGTTGTTGTTGTTGTTGTTGTTGTTGTGTTTGCGGGGGTTCAGTTGTTTCCACGGCGGGGTTAAACTGGCTCTCGCCCCAAACGAGGCCCGCCTTTCAAAGTGAACAAGCCGCGAGAAACCGGGGGGAAACTTCTCCCTTTGCAGACCCCAAACATTGCCGTAATTAACCACCAACAGCAAGATTATGTCAGCGATAGGGATTACCGTGGCTTCACATTAACAGGATTAGTTTGAGTTGCAGGCACTTTGATGCTTCATGTGAGTAGTGTGACCAATATCTCATTCAGATATTGATCAAGATGGCTGTCAGTGTGGTGACTCTTTAACTCTTGTGCCCCCCCCTTTCACCACAACCCTGCAGAGGTATTTATTTTTCTTTCTTTCTTGCTGCTGCTTTTATGGTGTCTTATTCTTGTTTCAGTGTTGGAGGGTCTGTGGGTGAAACCATGAGTGTCAGATTTCATGCTACTCAACTCTGGCACCTCATCCACATGGATATAAAGCAGATCCTGTACAACCCCAGCTTCCTGCAGCCCGAGTTAACATTATCTTCCCCACCGGGCTCAGATCTATTCAGCAGATCAGCTTTCAATGAGCTGCGTGTTGTCAGCTTGACCGCTGCTGTTGCTGAACTGGTTGGAGCTGCGGCTTGGCCAACTGGACCTGCACAGTACGCTTACATAGACTGGTTGAGCTCTGCTGTGGCCTTGAACTCAGGCTAGGTGAGGCCCGCTGTCTGTCTGTCTGCACGCTGTGTCATCATCACTCAAAAAGTAGAGCAGAGTGTCCCGCAGAGCGGGGATGTTTGTCCAAACTTTCTGATGTTGAAAGACACACTGGACGACATGACAAAACGAATTGCACTCAATGAGATTATTTTAGAAATGCAGTGGAAATAGTGGGGTGTAAATGTGGATACATCGCATGTATTAGCTAATTGTGTGTGTGTGTGTGTGTGTGTGTTAAAGTAAATATGTACATGGATTTGACTGATGCATCACTATCTTATTCACTGCAGCTAGTAATGTTAGTATTTCTTTAATGAATAAGTTGTTCTGGGAGAAGAGTATAAAATAACACACAAACCAGCATGTTTACTCTGCTACTGACAGATAAGACTTTAATGGTTTTTTATCTTCATACTTGTCCTGTTTATTGGTCCCAATGAGGTCCATTTAAAGCCTCGAGGTTACTCAAGTAACCCCAGTTCTGTGAGTCTCATTATAATATACATGTTGACATGAAGGGAAGACATTTCCTTTCAGTTGTGTTTTGCAATTTGCAAATGACAGAAATGTGTGTGGGAAGTTCCAGAAAGATTCCAGATTAAGCCAAGATTGTGATGATTTTATTGTGCGGACTAGATGTTTATGTTTTTCGCTTAATGAGAAGTTGCTTCCTGTGAGGATGTCATGCTGTCGAGAGAAGTGATGAGAGGGAGCAGCAGCAGAAGGGGTTTGTAGGTGGCAACAAAATACAGTAAGATGGGCTCCGAATGGATGCAGACTCACAGGCAGGAAGCTTACGATTACTTTCATTATCAGGTCAATAAACTGTCAAAGAAAAATTGTAAATTTCCCAAAGACCAAACTGACAGTAGTCACTAATTAGTCAGTAATTTATTATGAAAATAGTTTTATATTTAGAAATATCAATTTTCTTTTCATTGACTTTTTGACTTCTTGTTGCAGCCCTACATACGAATAAATAAATAATGTCAGTGGCCACAAAGTACCGTTGGCAGTAGTAGAGTGTGTAGGTTGTGAGGGAAGCACGTCTAAAGTCCATGAACTGTTTGTTGCACTGTGACAACACGCACACACTTTTTTTTTTTTTTAAAGGTTTGGCACCAGCTGCCACAACTATCACAGAGGTGGTCTCTCAGCAGGAGTGTTACTTTGATGTGTGTGTGTGATCAGACCGGTACTTTAAAGAGTTAATGTTTTACCTCATATCTGACTCCCAAGCTAAATAACAAATTTCCAAATTTCTAGATCACAGAGCCCGGTCAGGGGTGTTCGGCCACAAAACTTTAAAGACTCCCTCAGCCTCTTTAAAGTGGGCTAAGGTACCTACAGAGTTTCTGTTCTTTTTTCCCCCTCTGTAGATCTAAATGCTTTTCCAGCTGTCTGGTCTCCCCACACGGGCAGAAGGAAAAGCTGTGAATTGATGTTAATCCCATTTAACAAAGTCTGCAGAGCGTTTTAATAAAGCAATTCTGCTGCCATCAGTGCTTTTTAAGAACTTTCCTCTCACTTTATTAAGGGAGTCCTCCCTTTTAGACGCCTCACTGACTGTACAGACGCCCTCACAGACAAACAGCAGGGCGTTTACAGAAGAGGTGTCAAAAAAACAACAACATCTGAGCATTTTCTTTGTCTTCTTTCTGGTGTCGTCTGTTAATCTCTCGTCTGTTTGTCTTTCCCACTCCTTCGTTCTGTCTACCCTTCTCTCAGACTGTGGAGCATGGGTTCCCTCATCAGCCCAGTGCTTTGGCCTTTGACCCCAAGCTGCAACTTATGGCCATCGGGACAAAGTCAGGAGCTATTAAAGTGTATCCTTTTTATTGTCGTTGAGATCACGCAGGTAACCGAGCAAACAAATTATAAAAATGTATTGTGATGATGTTTTTTTTAAGGTCATTTGTTCCAGCAGTCACAGCTGACTGTGTCCTAAAACCAAGCCAACTATGTCTTGAAGGATACAAACTGTCAAAGAAAACCTCTGAGCAGCGGCGGGTAGAGTGCAGAAACAGTTTTTCTTCCGGTTTTGTCAGTTTACCTCTTTGAAGTGCTGCTCTGTTTATCTGTACATCAGCTCTTCAGCGCAGGTGTACACTCTCGCTTTTCACTGTGGGTGTGTGTTTGTGGTTCTTACTGATTCGTTTTTACCCGTATGATATACACTTTTCATACGCGGCCTTACTGTTGCGTAGCTAAAACAAGTTCTGTTACTCATTTGTTTCTTGGGCAATAGAACATTTGAGAACTATCTATTTGAATATGTCAGCTTATAGTGTCTGTACAACTATTCAAAAATCTTTTCTCTGGAAAAGGAAGCAATGTTGTTGGCACATCTTTTTTTATTTTTGAGTTCTGTTTTTACTATTTTTGCAGCCTGCATATTGTTTACATTTTGATGCCTTCATATATTGTTTATTATTATTGGTGGGGCCAAGAAAACCCTATAGAAATAAAAGCTATCAGTATATACAAGATGACATTACAATGTTTTTATATAGTATGGACTCCTGGCAGTAGAATAACCCACTATAAACCTATATAAAGCCTCTGTCATGCAACAACAACGACAGTAAAATACTGTGAAGCTGCTAGAATCTTAAAAAATGCTGGGATACACATATTTGGTCATACCGCCCAGCACTAGCATCCATACACGTTTTAAGCTGTTTAAGGCTAATTGAGCTATAAGTTATTGTCTTTATACCTCATAGGGCTTTTGTGTTTTTTGCTCTCGTGATTTCTCACAGTGCTTTACGAATGTTGAGGAAATACTGATCAGATGTATCTGCAGCAGAGCTGTTTATATAACATCACTCGAGCAGAGCAGTGCATTGCTGTGTGTACTGTCTGTCTCTGTGGGAAGTTGCACCATCTGCACCACTGAACTGAAGAAGACTGGTCTGTTATTCCTGTCTGAATTGACAACATTAGAGGAAAGTTTCATCTTTTTTTTTTTTTTTTACAGTCTGGGCTTTATTTTCAAAGTCTTGGCTTTTATTCTTTTGGGTTATAGTAACATTTTTCTCACAGCAACTAAATGTCTGGTATTTGGTGTCATTTCTAGACAGGAGTCTGGTACAGGAAGCAGCATGAGTGGTGGCAACCAAACCCTCAATTCTACCTTATAATTCAAAGACAAATTAAAGGCAAACATAAACATTATTACAAAAACTGCTGATTACTTGCTTCAGTCTGGCTTAAGGTACTAACTGAAGTAGTGAGCACACGGTTTCTCTATGTAATTGTCTTTTCAGGTGCACTGACCTTGAGTGTAATTTCTGCTCGAGTGGTCTAGATAATCTGGGCAAAGTGGGGGGTTTGTTAACCACCTGCGTGCGTCATCCGACCCCTACTGTTCTCTGTTGTAGTGCTGTCACCACTACCAGATCACTGCAATTAACTTGCTGAGTAAAACATTATCATAACCGATACCGAGCTGTGAAACTTGAGACCAAGACTGAAAAACAAAACATCAACAACATCATTACATACGCTATTAGGCAGATGGCTTTTAATCTTGGAGGGCCCTGAATACCATAAATGCATTTTTGAGCCTGCAGTCAGTGGGAATCTAACCCCCAACCCCTTTGCCAGCGGCAGTGCAAGACTGTGTGTTTGAACAACACAGAATAAGCTAGAACATTGAGTAAAGCTGTACTAGAAAGGAGTATTGGTTTGGCTCGTGAGATGCTTTGCGGAAAAAAAATAATTTTGCTTAGAGCGTCAGTTGTGTCAAAGATTCCAGCTCGACGGCTCATGCAGCGGCCACATGACACAACTCTGTGACATGTTATTGATCTCGCTCATCCCTCTACGCCCGCCAACTCTGTCATTACTGTGGCCGTCCTGTAGTTAATAGCAGGATTACATCAGTCTGCTGCTTCGTTGTTGTAGGTTGTTTTCGTCTTGTTTACCAGTCAAGCACCATCATCCTTTTAGAAAATGAAGAGGTTGGATATTTTAAAGTGTACATTAAGGGTGTTTTGTTTCGCGTGTTTGCCTCACATGTTTCGGGTTTGTCTCGCATGTTTCACGAGCTGCAGCAGAGAGCGTGTAACAGGATTTATCAACACAAACATGCCAACGTTTGAATGCGAACGTAGGTTCATAGCGACTGTTTATGGTTATTTAATCAGCGTGTGTGTGCACATTTATCGAAGGCAGGCTGGCTGTGGTTGTGTGCAGATGCATTCGACTGGAGAATCGACTCTTTGAGATGCAGCTTTCTGAGGGAGAGACACAGGGAGAGAGGGAGAGAGAGAGACTGGTGGTGCCAGGCACTTGCACCCCAGAGGGAGATGAATGGAGGGAGAAATGGAGGAGGGGAGAGATGGAGATAAACAGAGGCAGTGAAGACAAGGGAGTGTAAAGGAGATGGACGAGGGAGGCAAAATAACTCTGCTACACGGCTATACGTACTTTAACAAAATGACTGATACTGTGAAGCTCAGACTAATCATCCTGCTTTTTAACAAGCTCCCAGCTGCTGTTGGAATTTTGTGGAAAGTCAGCATGTATACCCTCAGAGAATATCTGGAAAGTTAACTGAAGAGTCGCTTTGTAGGAGTATAAAAAAATTATTATGTTTCACACATTCATTGAATTAGAAGTGGTTTCCAGACCGGGGTCTTTTAATTAAATGATTTCCTTGAAAAGTACTGGAGCATTTTTATCGATTTAGGCCTAGAAAATCATTCAGTTGAAAGGTAAAATCATTTTTTGTTGAACTTCTCATAACTCTGGCAACCTGAGGAAGTAGAGTCGACATGGCTTGGTTTTTCAGGAGGTCAGAGACCAACAAGGTCAGGCACAACTACAGTAGATCATGTTTTAGCTGTTTTTCACAGCAAGCAAAATTGGAGCGTAAACCATCTTTAAAACAACACAAACGTTCCATCTGGTTTGTGTTGTTCAGTTTAGTATATGGGTGCTCTCTGATTTTCAACTAATGATTGATTATCATTATTGATTGGTCTGTCATTACATTTTTTGTTTAATCGATTATTACGGTAATCTATAAAATGTCAAGAATTAAAAAAATGCCCATTGCAGTTTCTCAGAGCCCAAGGTTATATCTTCAAACTGCTTGTCTTCTCTGACCAACAGTCAAAAATCCAAACATATTCAGGTTGCAATAATATAAAACAAGCAGAAAATCTTCACATATGAACTGGAACCACATATTTTATTTTTGTATTTTTGCTGGAAAGATTCCTGTAAAATGACTGAAACGATTAATCAAAATACTTTCAGATTAATTTTCTGTTAATCTACTAATTGATTTATTGACTAATCTTTTCAGCTGCAATGTCAGTGAGCGATAGACAATAACAAACTTTACCTCAATTTTGTTCTGTAAACCAGGTTCAGTTGGAACGATAGCCTTCATTTTTGTGTCCACATTCCCTGATAATCTCACAGACTCACTGACTTGGGTTTGACCCGGACAAGCTTGCCAGCATACCTGCTAGTACTGTCATATACACACACACACACACACACACACACACACACACACACACACACACACACACTTCCAACCTGCAGTGCCAAATGTGTGGTTTGATTCTGACGCCTGAGCAGTTCAAGAGTAAAGACAAAAAACCGAGGGAAAAAGTTTGGTCGAGCAGACATAAAGTTTGTTGACTCAGTTACAGAGATTGAGTAAAAAATTGATTTTCTTTTATTGTTTGAACTTCTGTTCTCCGTGCTGGCACAATTTCTCCTCCTCTCCTTGTTCACATGTGCTCTCTTTCAGCCTCTTGCTTGAGTTTCTCACTTGTTCTTTCCTTTTTCTCCTTCCCTCGCTCTCCGCATGTTTATAAAGGCAGAGTCATATTACGCCCTGAGAGTTTCTGCAATCGACCACAGACTGGGGCTCAGCAGAGGGAAGGGGACAATGTGGTGTGGAGTTTTTTGTGTATGTGTGTATGTCGAGAGAGATCATGTGTGGGGGTGGTGGGCCGATTCTTTGGGAGTCTGTCTCCTGTCGAAGAATGCATGTTGGGCTGCCCTGGGTTAACCCTCTCCCCGTGTGTGCGCATATTGGGTGAGTAAGTGCTTTGTTGCTGAGTCTAGTCTTAATAAAGGAAGCTTTTGAATTGGTTTCCAAGACAACCAGCGCAGTTGCCGGGGATGAGAAGTGCTTGCAGACTGGAGGGTATTAAAAGTCTGCAGCTTAGCACGTCAGACACCAGAGTTTGTTGGTAGAAATGCATCACTTATGGGCAAAAAGCTCAAAAAATACAGTGTGCAGTATTACAGTACCTGTTAGTAACCCCAACACTAAGTATGAAACTGTGGGCTGCGAGTTTATCTGGACAATCCAGTACGTGCTGAATCACTCTGAAACTTTGTGGCCGTGAAGCTTCAATATCGACAATCAAACAACCGCAGGACGAGCTAATATTTACACACACACACACACACACACACACACACACACACACACACACACACACACACACACACACACACACACACACACACACACACACACAGCACAGCTTTGATCTGTGTGTTTGTGCTTCAGTTGTTAGCTCTCCCTCTGTCTGTTTGACATCCTGTTGGTCACACACACACACCACACTGATTCATCTGATTCTCTTAAGTTGTTACTGGTATGTCTTCATATTTTGGCAGGAGCTGACCAGCACTGTTTGCTGATGTCACAGGGTTGCAGCATGATTTAGTATACGGGAAATCTGCGCTTTCGACGCAGTGAATCATCCGTTTTTGCAATGTCACATAATGTTAAAATCCATCTTTTCATTTCTCTCCTGCACATTGTGTCCTGATAAACTGACTCCTG